CAATAGCCCGAGTTTACGAATCACGTGCCGCTGCTGCCGGGGAAAGGCGCTCGGCACGCTTCGCGCGCCGAGCGCCTTTCCCCGGCAGCAGCGGCGGACAACCTCGAATATTAAGCTTTGCTAGAATTCTTTTAAAAGATGAAAGATAAAAAAAGGAGCATGTAGGATTCGAACCTATGGAAGCTTTTGTAAAACTTGGGTTACTTACCTAGGTATATAATGCGTAGCTACGTAATTGGTAACTGTGGCTAGCTATAGCAAAAAAAAAAGATACGTATTTCGAGAAAAAAATGAAAGTGGGGACCTAGAAAAGCACGTGAGGAAGTCGGGGATGCACCCAATAAAAACGCTCCAGAGCTGCGCACGGACGAACTTCCTATTTCGAAAAAAAGCCAGGCAAAAAGATCGTCTGACAATATCCCTCGTAAACTCGGGCACAATAACCCCTCGTAAACTCGGGCATTGCAGGGTTACTAGCAGTCCAACTTTATATACAAACAATAAAAGTCATACAAACTTTCCTACCTATAAACGCGTTTATTTATCAAGCTTTATCTAAATACTATACTATATTTACCGTAACTATGAATCTAGATATGAGTCCTAGTGTCATATCACGTATTGTGTTTATTACTAAAACATCTCCTAAACCCCCACTACGTATGATTCTTTACATCTAACGTAACGATACATTTTGCATCTCTCAGTTGCTAAGGTTAACGAAGGATGGAAAATCGTAAGAAGGATGAACCTGCTAGGAAAGGGGGATATATTTACCTGAATGAATAAGAAATTGTAATATTGGACCTAGTTAACTCAAACTCTAAAGTACTAAATTTAGGTATACAAGGTGGGAACTTAATGTTTAATATTATACTAAGTCAGAGAGACTAATTAGTGGCACTGAGCCGTAACTAAGTCCTGAAAAAATGCATGATTATTCCAAATAACAAGTAATGAGGTTGTGGTGTTCCCTGCTTCAACGGAGTCCGGCCCCACCGGCGGCCTCCGAGGATCCCGCATTGTGTCCGTGACGGGAGACTATTTATTCGTCTTATTACAACAGATTAAAGCGATGGAGGCATAATTTAACAAACGAGGATGTATTTAGAACCATAACCTTAAACTTGAATTGGCTGCCCGATACCAACTATTTTCGAAAAGTCCACAGACCCTAGCCCTAGCCACCACGATGACCTTCGATACAACCGGCCCTTCTAAGATGAATTATGTTACGGCGGATGTAGTAATTATTGGAGCTGGCCTGAGTGGCCTTCAAGCAGCAGTGAATATCCAGGCAGCTGGTTTTACATGCTTAGTCTTAGAGGCCACCGATAGGGTTGGTGGCAAGACATTAAGCATCAAATCCAGCTCTAAACAAGCTGGTATAAATGATGCCGGAGCTACGTGGGTGAACGACAGTAACCAGTCCGAAATATGGAAACTATTTGAGAAGTATAATGTTGGCGCGGTTGTCCAAAGAGCTACCGGCACGAGCTTTCAGCAAGCCGAGGACGGCAGCACGATCTCACGCCCTTATCATAAGGAAACATCAGTAAGTTGAACAGCTTACCCCAGATGAAGCATTAGAGTAAAGGTGGTGCAGCTAATGCTACATTATCTACGAAGGGTAGAGATGATGATCGAGCTAATGAAATGCGTCGCATATACGGAGCAATTCATGAAGCCGTTGAGACGTCGGATCTTGAGCATCCCGAGACTAGTGCCGGTGCTCAAAGGCTTGATACCATGACGTTTGCCGAGTTCTGTCGGGAAGCTGGTCCTAATATAGGCACTGGAATTGCTTCAGTAGCTACTGCCGCTCTACTTGGCGTTGAGGCCCACGAGGTCAGCGCTTTATTTATGGTGAACTATATCAAGAGTGGATATGGTATACGGGTAATAACATCGGATGAGAAAGATGGGGCGCAGTACATTCGAGCCCGACGCGGTAAGAAAATACACAACGCTTTACTACCGTGAGTAAGAGCTGACATTGAGGCTTAATTATGTTATAGGTATGCAAGCTATATCGGAAGGCCTCGCCAGTGAATTGTCCCGAGACTCTCTTTACTTGAGCACGGCGGTAAAGTCCATCCAGGAAAAAGACGACGGGCTCTACGAGGTCCATTCCACTGCGCGCACGATTTTCAAAGCCAAGCATGTGGTGGTGTCTGTCCCGACCAGCTTATATCACACCATCCAATTCACGCCACCGCTGCCGGAGAATAAGCAAACGCTAGGAGAGAGCACCGGCCTCGGGTACTTCAGCAAAGTTGCGTTAGTCTTTGAGGAACCATGGTGGCATACAGTAGGTCTGTCAGGTGTGATGACCTCTTATAAAGGTCCTGTATCCTTCACCCGAGATACTAGCGTGCCGGAAGACGATCAATGGTCCATAACCTGCTTTATTGTAGGTGACACAGGACGCGCCTGGAATAAATATTCGGAAGCAGAGCGCCGAGGTGCAGTCCTTGAGCAGTTCAACTCTGTCTTTTCCACAGCGACAGCTGTCCCCAAGCCTATTGCCATTCACGAGCGGATCTGGTCTGAGGAGCCGTACTTTCTTGGTGCTCCATCTCCAGTAATGGGCCCCGGGGTGCTAACATCACTTGGCTCGGACGTACTGCGGGCGCCCGTTGGAAATATCCACTTCGTCGGCACAGAGACTTCCGTGGTATGGAAGGGATACATGGATGGTGCTGTTCGCTCAGGACAGAGAGGAGCAGAAGAAGTTATCACAAGTCTGAGAGGATAAATATTAATTATGCGTTTATGCATAAATGATCAATCATTTTTCCCTGGGCTCCGGGGTTCAAGGAAATTCGACAGTGCGTAGGAGGGGGAGGGGGGGCTGGTAGGCTACTGTTCAGATCTCAACGAAGTTGTATTAAGAAGACATCTCCAATAGACCCCGTCCATCAGAGAATGTCTCATAGCTAGCTAGCTTAAACTTAATCTTACAAGTATGTAATACGTCATGACATATTGGTCTGCCAGGGGCCATGAAACTTTAAATTGCTGATGTTCTTTCACTTGAGTTGCGTTTGCATTCTAATTTGACAGACACAAGTTTCAGTGCGACACATTAATTTAAATTAAAAAAAAACGACGCATCGTGAATAATTTGTTAGATGAGTTAGAACTTACTCGGCCATAGCTGCCTATCAACCAAAGAGTTCTCCCCTCATGACCATTCAAGCTTGACACGTCAGAAATTCAATCCTACGACAGTTGCAAACGGAGGACTTTCCTTTCGATCCGATCCTCACAGTGTACACTGTAAGAAATGAGCCAATAGTGTCAATATACCGAAATACACAGACACGGCTTACTGCAGGCTGCGACTGCTGTTTGACCTGACCTTTCTTGGGCCTCACAACCTGGCCATCGCAGCCTGGAGATTAAAACCCGACTCTTTCCCTTGTTCCAAATATCTCTGATTCTCTTTACTAGAACCATCTCTGAGGAACCGACCATTTCTTAAAAACCAACACAGAGTTGCATATAAGAACGGACCTCTATCTCTATTTCGCAACTATACCAACCTCCCCACACTTCGCCATTACAAGCGCTCAGACTTTACACTCAATCCGAGATTACGAATATCCACGGCGGCATCACGCTTACGAGCAATAAATAGAGGACATTTATACTAGACAGAATGGCCGATTCTGGGGAAGGATATTGGAGCTGGATGCAACAAAACCCGAAGAAGACTGCTGCCTATGCGGCCGCTGGCGTTGCGGCCGTAGCACCGATGGCTATCGCCGGTCCGATTTTAGGTGCTTTCGGATTTGGAGCAACCGGTATTGCAGCAGGTATATTTCTAGCAATTCTTCTCGTCTTTTAATTTAATTGTAAGAGCAACTTAACTAACCTATATTTTTCGGTAGGCTCGGTAGCGGCCGGCGCCCAAACTGCGAATGTAGCGGCCGGAAGTCTGTTCGCTATCTTGCAGGTTAGTATTTTGAGATTTTTCCAACACTAAGACCCTCCCGTGAGTCCTGAAGAACCCTATTTTAGAGATGGCTAAAATTTATTTCACAATTAGAGCGCTGGAATGGGTGGCTATGGAGTTGCCACTGTCGGCGGGGTTGTCCAAGCCGGAGGCATCATCGGTGGCATTTTTGCCGCCTTGAAAAAGGCTCCCGATCGCCGAAGCCTTAACCCTATTGAGAATACATGTGATTCGTTAAAAGAATATGACGACAATGACGACAATGACGACGATGATAGTAATTCCTTAAATTCTAAACCTATGTCAAGATACGACACTGTGAAAGCTACGAGCCGGTTCTGGGATAGCTTTTCAATTGAAGAATTGATAACCATGGTGAATTCGACGCCCCAGATAGTCGAACGTCTCGAAAAATTGAAGGACTCACTGTTGGGATACTAAGTTCAATATACATAAATCCACCGCACAAGCAGCTACTAGGTCTCTAGGTAATTTGACTATTCTTACTTGGGGTCGAGAATGAAAATACTCTAGCATGGAACTCATAACATCTTAGTACGTTGACTATTGCCACGGTGTGTTTCTGTCAGGATTCTAGATGAGACATCTAGAACAAAGGACATGTCCAATATGAATAGACGTAAGACCCTCGTAGTTAGGTAGTTTAGAGTTCCTTGCGGAACAACGAAGTTGTTTCCATGCTGTTTCGTTCCACCTCGTGACAGAAATCCGCCTTTGATAATGGCTATTTCAAACTCGGAACCGAGATATATAAGATAGGTAGCTGACAAATCTTGGATTGATTGAAAGGATAAACTCCAAGTTCTGTCGGCGGGTTGCACGAGACATATTTAACTGGAGCAACGTAATATTGGATTCTTGGAACTAGATATGCAAATTAAATCAACCTAGACTTCCGTAGGTATCTCACTAATGTTCCAGGCTGGAGATATGTTATATAAATTTGGTAACTCATCGTAGTATCTTGTTACTCAAGACTGTACATAATAGATGAGGATTACGAAATAAATCATTTACCTGCATTGCTTGTACAACTACCTAACATCAGCTGATAGTTTTTATTATCTTCATCTATTGCGCCTCTTTCGGGGGATTGTTAGCCATGATATGGGGGGCTCATTAGTAACCGGTAGAATCGCCATAGTACACTCGCTTTATTGATATCACCAAATTAGGCCCTGTTACCTTTGAATGTATTAGCAATATTGATTGATTATATAGGAGACCAAGTTCTAGCTAGCCCCTGAAAAGTGTATGGATAGGCTTTATTTAGTTACCAGCTTTTAAAGGCTAGTTGATAACATTACAGTTATCTCAAACGTAGCCGCTTAAGAACTAATTTTTGATCTTTACTACAATTGCTCTTTTTACTGAGTCCAAATAAAACTTTTAGATTGAAAGGTTTGGTACCAGTACCTTGCCCATGAAACTCGCTTTAGTATAATTCACCTACCTAGTGATAGGCTTGATAAAAGGGACCTTTTAAGCTAGTGATTTCTAGATGGTCATTTAAAGTACCTCCTAGGTACGTTATAAATAGCATCTATTTACCTTTTATTAAGTTCGTAGTTATTACTCCGTGACTAGGTAAATGTTGGAGATGTCGTTCCTAACCAATCCCTTATATCTCTATCAGTCGTCCTACTGTATTGGATGCACATTCAACGGAGGCGACCACTCTTCGAGCTAACCCATCAGATATGCAAGTGGCTAAGCGAGGTATGGTATCCATCGATATAAATCCGGCCCCATGGGGTGAACTAGGGGTAGAATCCTGGCTTTGACGGATAGGGGAAGTCAAGCTCAATCTTTAGGTCACCCGAGACTAGAAGCTGTGATTCGACACGGAAAGCTACCGCATCAGACCCGAAATCTCCCTGGGTAATAACTCTGACGCTCTCCCCGGAAATATCAAACGTAGAGGTTATAACTCCGTTCCATAGGTCGAGCTCCTGAACCTCGTTCGTGATCTGAGAAGCTGCCAAAGTAGCTCCCTGGTACCTGAGGCCAATGCGACCTAGGTTAATTCGATTGGGATTAGAAATGAGCCACTGTGAAACTTCCGGGAGATTGGAGTCGGGAATATCATAAGAGACATTTCTACCATGCGTTATCATTGCTACGCCATAGTAGTCGCTAACTCTTTCACTGTATATACATTAGAAAACTATGATAGAGAAAGGGTTAATTAAGTGGGTAACATACTTGCCTCTCGGTAGAGAATCATTATGCCACGCCCAACTAGACAGTGTGTTAAAAGGTAGGATAGTCTTGGTACTATTATCAGCATTGCATCCTTAGCGATTAATAGGAGAATTTCGTTACCTGCATCCCCGTGTTGTCAATATTAAATGCGAAATTACCATTTCCCACTTGTAAAGGGGTGGTATTATTATCGATTAGCCTCTCCCTCTTAACATTGTACTTGCTAACAATATCCTGCCTTTATTTGAGGTAGTTAAAATTAGATCAAATAAACTTAAAACGGTATACCACTCTTCCGCTCAAGCTATACATACCTATTGATCTTTCCAAAGGCCAGATTTGACAGTAATACGAGACCAAGGAGCAAAAAGGCCATGACTCTTCACGAAACAGATGACAAGCTGATTGCAGTACGATAATGTTAACTAATGCTAGGCACAAAATCTGAATTTATTTGAATGTACATTGTTTAATGAAACGAAAGACCGGGGTAAATACCCCCGAACTTGGCCATCTCTTCAGAGGGAACTCTTTATCCTCGGAAACTAATAAATCAAGGAGACCTTTCCCCACGAATAAAAACTGACATGGGACTAGCACTAGGTATTGGATTTATAACAGGGACCGGCTTTGTGGGGGAAATGATATTTGGAGACGAACTTGGAGAAATTCGGTGGCCTTTCCACAATACACACTACGAAGTATAAGTATGAAGTTTTCGCTGGTGTATATGACTTTCCACTTAACCATACTACTTCTATTATCAAAAACTGCAAAGTGGACGAGGCACATATCTATCATGAGCTACAAGAGACGAGTTATTTTGTTAATTTACGCTGGCCCGTCGGAAGTCCACTTAACCTCTCCAGAGTCGAACCGCCTAGATCAAATACTCTCACCGCCCACCGCTATACTCTGTCAGCAACATCCAAGACTCGCTATAGATCGAATACTATAGACTTTACTGCACATTTTTCTCCAGATAAACAGACTGCTGCACTCCCATCGAGTATCCAAAAAAGAAACTCTAGAGGGTGGAACCGGTATTGGGAGGAGGGCGGTTTCGTTGATTTAACATCTTCTTCGAATACGAAAGCGGACGAGCTCCAGCGACGTATCATCTTATCCCAATATCATCTTCGAGTTAACAGCGCAGCGACGGGTCAGTCACCACAAGAAAGTGGATTGATGAATAACGGGTGGTATGGTATGTGTACTTGGTGCTCATTCTATCATGTCTGTCCTAGAGCTAAATTTCTGTAGGAAAGTTTCACATGGAAATGGTTGTTTGGCATAATGCCCATTGGTCGACATGGGGTCGACAGAAGTATTTTGATAATATCTTCCCTGGATTGTACGAGACTCTGTTACCTTCGTCGATGGCGAGAGCAAAGTCAATGGGGTGGGAGGGAGCTAGGTGATTCGGTTCCGAAAACCCCGGAATACATACGGTCGACAACTAACAGAATGCTGACTAGGTGGCCAAAGATGACCGAAGTTGACACCGGAGTTAGCTCGCCGGGTGGCATCAATGGTCTACTTTTATGGCAACAGGTAGGTTAAAGTTATTATTTCAGTAACATCTCATTGACACAGCTCTCCCTTACAGCCTCATTCCATGTACATGGCAGAACTAGCGTACCAAGCTTCTCCTAGACGAGAGACTTTGAAAAGATGGGATGCCATCGTAAGCGCCGCTGCCGATTACATGGCTTCCTATGCTTGGAAAAATGCGAGTTCGGGGCGTTATGACCTTGGCCCGCCTAGTTACGGAGTAACAGAGAACACGCCTCCAGCTGAAACGCTGAACCTAGCTTATGAAGTAAGTGGCGCACCTACTAACTCTTATGGCATCGTATACAATGCAGCTCATATTTACTACCTAGATTGCATATTGGAGATATGGACTAGATGTTGCGCGCGAATGGAAGAGAAGACTAGGCAAACGCATTCCTGAAAAATGGACAACCGTCGCGGAGAATCTGGCTCACCCACCCCAAGCTGGTGGCCTGTACGCTGTCTATGAGGGTCTAAATAGTTCCTGGTGGGAAAATCCTAAACTTAACGGAGACCCTCGAAGCCTCATTATGCTTCAAGGTATTCTTCCTGACACGCCAGCAGTTGACCCTAGCGTTGCGCTTAAGACGGCGGATAAGATCTGGGAAGTATGGACCGATGACAAGATCCGCGGGTGGGGCCGACCCGTATTAGCGATCAACTCTGCTAGAATTGGGAATCCAGAGCGTGCTATCTATCACATGACAGCGTATGACTATTGGATATTCGATGACGCAGGATTTGCTGTGCGAGAAGGTGATGGTAAGCTTCATCTACAATAGGTAAACGAGATGCCATCCTATCATTCTAACAGTTGTATATAGGTGGCACCCCTCCTCCATTTATGCCTGGTAACGCAGGATTCCTTTATGCAGGTGAGCACTCTAGGTACATAATCTCGTCGAAGTCGTTACGGTTATTAACGAATAATAATTCAGTCGCGTACATGGTTGCCGGTTGGAATGGATCCACGGAGGATGCTCCGGGTTTTCCCAAGGATGGAACTTGGACTGTTAAACATGAAGGTTTACTAAAGGCGCTTTGAATGTCAAGAACAACATTTAGATGCAGCAGAACGAAGTACTTCGTACATAACATTAGGTAAGCTAGAAATTTATGAAACCAGTAGCGTACTTTTGAGACGCCAATCCGAGCAATGTCATCCCCGCTTCTCCCAGCCCCACGTCGGGACAGCCCGAGACTTATGACGTATGGGCTTTCGACTACGTAGAGGCGTGTAACCTTTATCTCAAGATAGAAATCATAGTCTTAATCTTAGTCTCATTCGATTCTTTCTAGGTACTAGGAGCTGGCGATTGGAAGAGTTCATCCGTAGACCAGAGAGTGTTCATTTCATTTTGCTCCATGAATGCAATATGGCAGGAATTTGGTATCGCACATTCCGAGATTTCTTTTCCACTCGGCGTCTCTGGCTTTTCCCTCTTCTTGCTGGTTTATCTTGGTTTTTGACGCTCACTATTTTACTGGTGAGATGGCTGGTTGTCGACCGTCCCCAATATCCCGGACAGGTAAACCCATATGTCCCGTTTATTAGCGACATTGCTGCCCATCAGTTTAAGCCCGTGTTCATCATCGGGTGCGCAGCTACCGGGGTTACGTTTCTTGGGACCATGTTCTCGGTACATCATGTACGCTATTCGCCTAATTTCTACGCACTGAGAGACGACGCCCCGTGGCGGCAGACCATGAGCTTAATTGCGCAGATTGCTGGCATCACTGCTGCTGTTAGCTTAATAAACCTCAGTGTCTTTGATACAGACGATGCACATGTACGACATCGACACCTTCTTATGGGTACATTTGGAGGCCTTTTCGCGAGTGCGGTAACTACTACTGCTGTCTGGTGGGATCAAATTTGGGGTCCCATGGTGTTTGCGGGCTTGAGGAAATGGTATGTCTCATTGGAAAAAAAGATGTCGAATGTGAGGAAAGCTATGACGTTAACGTGACTAAAGGTGCATCTTCAACACAGCTCTAGTTATCTGTCAATTTGGTTGTGGACTAGCATTCGTAATTCTCATGTACGACGGTTATTTCAAGTCCTCAGGCATACTTGAATGGTGCCTGACCTATCTCGGTTCCTTTTGGCTCCTCTCATTCGTGGGATACACAATGTGAGTTAGTGAAAGCTAAAGTTACTGGCTTATCAGTTCTAACAAGATATATAGGTTTAGGGAAGGCGACCATCCTGTGGATGAGAACGATGCTGAGCAGCAACCGCTGTTAACATAGGTTTTCATATAATACAAAAGAGTAAACTTAGATCTGGACTTTCTGATACGATATAGAAGTCGTGATATTGTTACAGCCCCCATTCCGTACCTAATCTTGTCTTCATTTGGTGACAACTGAATAGGTAATTTTATTTAGACTACTACAAGCATCGTGTAAGATTCTGCGGGTATAAAATAGGGATGAAGCAGGTCATGAGCTTGCCGACTCGATGATATTTCAAACTGGTATACTTCGTGATTTGAGATTTCTATAGTAAATACTTCTATTAGTTCGTTGAGTACGTTAATGTAGTTTCCTCATATCTACTACAGTTTAAAAGCTGCTCCTTCATCTAAGGGGCTACAAAGTGCGGCGGCGTTAATGGCGTACGGTCCAACTTGCAGATTCTCTCCACTTTTATTTATTAGCGTCAAGCACTTATCGCAAGCGTTGCTTCTGGACCGTGCACTACTCAGAAACTTATACAAAATTTCTCCTCCAGTAGCGCTATGCGGATTACGCATCACGTCTAGCGCGTCGACAGGGAAAAAAAGACAAAAAAAAATGGCTTCATCATCTAAACCATACTCACTTCAACTAGCTGAACGCATCCACAATACCACTGGCAAGGATCAACTTGGTCGCATATGTTCTGCGGGTTTTATCTTAGAATCATCATGGCATTCAGTCGTCGAGAGAAGATTCATGAACACGCCGCCTCAAGTTGTGAAGAAGGCTTTGCTTAGAGCAGGTATCTTCTGGACGGTGTTATATTTTGGTACCGGCGAAGCATTGAAATGGGCCGAGCGGAAAGTCAAGAAGGCCGAGGAAGGCCGGCCATGAAAACGAGTGGGCAATCGGAAGAATGTCCCCTCGTATGGGAATTGTATAGGCCGACTCTTTTACATCGGTCATTTGATACCCTTTGTCGTCATGCATGAGCCAATATTGTAGGATCACTCATACGCCAACACATATGGTTAATATATCGCTTCCCGAAGGACATATTAGGATACCTGCGAATGTCACGAGTTCTGTACCATCAGCTTCAAGTTAGCGGGATGTTTTTCTTTATGCGCATTTTATGTCTATCGGACTGGTTCTAGGGGGGAAACAAAGTGACCATGACAGCAACAACTTAGAGATGAACTCTGCTCAATACAATTAAGTACATGCCAAATGACGCGAATAAAGATCGTTTAAGCGGAGGGGATCGTATTATTAGAGATGGCGAGATACTGCTAGATAAATTTGATCACCATACAACACTGGTTCTCGAGGGAATCATGGTTGAACATCCACAGGCTATCATAATGCCAAGCTAGGTGAAGATATCATCAAGTTGTGTGGAATTGCGGCATCAAACATTGGAGAACCACCAGTAACGAGGGAATGATGCGATCAGCCCAACTAATCACGTCAACTCCAATGCCCTTCACTGGATCCACAAATTTCAATCCGTCCCAGTTTGGCCAGGAAGCCTTACGCAATGGAAACCATCGTCGTACAATCACGACAGTCCAATGCTGCCCCAACTCTCGCATATTGTATTTATATATGTTCGTATATCGAGATTCGATGCCCCTGATGGATTTCCAGGTGCTCAAATCCCCGTCCGTCTGGTACAATACTATCTTACTTAACTTTGGTATTAACTCTTACTCTCTGGATGTCGGAAACTATAAAATACTAATCTAAGAAGCCGTGCATCCTGGCAGTCATGGTTGAACCTCGAATCTGTAACAACCATACCGAATTTTATGACGAGAGTAGCACAGATATTTAGTTTGGGTCGAAAAAGCTTACTCGAAGCGCCCAGCCTTTAGCCTGCCAACTACCTAGCCCCTAAACTGAATCAGCAAGACCCTAAGACGAGTACAGCAAATGTCAAACTACCAATCCTTCCCACAATTTCCTCGACTACCCACAGAGATAAGACGCTTGATCTGGGTTCATGCTCTGCCCAGAGGCCGCATCCAACTCTTTGCCAAGAATGTACCTTGGGAGAACTGGCGTCTTCTGCCGCCTGTAGTTGCCCACGTTTGCCGAGAGTCACGAGAGGTTGCTGTGAACCACTCAGTTGTGCGTGGCTTCCCAACTGCAGAAGATATTCACACGACCACTTGGTTTATCGGGTCTCGTGATATACTCGAGCTTCACAGCGGCTATCCTTACCCGTTATCGAACCCAGAGCCTTTCTTTTCTGCAGCAGAGAGATTGGCAATTAACGCTGGAGACTTTGACGGCGAGATCAAAGTTGTCATCAAAGATCTCATCGAGGGTCGACGGTTTCATAACGTCAAGATGATATATCTCATCGTCGAGCAGATTGAGACTGCGTATTGGCCCAAGTTTCGACCGGATATGACGGAACAGGATAAGGGCAAGGGGACAGTCCTTGACTTATGCAGCGATGAAGACCAGAGAAAAATAGATGGCTATAAGACATGGGCACGTTTTCAAGAAATGTCACCGGTCTTTCCCCGACGTCAAGATGTTGAACTTATCCTTAGGTCGAGCCTAGATAAGATCATACTAGAAGAAATATGTCGGTACCACGAGCGTCTATTGCAAGTTGGATACACTGAGGAAGAAGCTATAGCACCATTTCCAACAACTGCTCCTATCACCCCAGATCATCCTTGGATCCTCCAACAATGGAGACGCCTACCGGAGTTCCGCCCGGCATTGTTAATCCTAGGATGGAGGTAAATAATTTCTATATGGATGGAATGGAGAAGTGGATATAGGGATAAATAATTGAGGCTCGTTTTCCACTAGCAATATGCCCCTCAAAGTAGGGTTTCATATGTCATTTCCAACTATAACACCTAGGGTAGAATAAGTTTGGATTTTTCCCGAGCATGTTTTGGAATGGCCTCCGGCGATGTACCTGGTAGTCGACAGGGGGTCATTGTGGCTTCAGATGTGGCTTTCTGCTTAAGCGGACTGAACACTTTAGATTACCTACCTCTTAATTCAATATGAGGTACAGCCACTCTACCACTTTAAGTCCGTGCAATATTTAGCGACATTTTACCGGTACCGAGGTGCCATCTGTTCACCTCAAGCCACCTTGTCCCGAAGGCACCTAGGGTAGTAACTTAATAACATACAGCGTGTCTAGTAGGAAGGGTTAGATTAATTTATTATCGCAATGGCATCGACACAGCGATTCTCAGGATACCCACTTGCTAAGGAAGGCCCCAAAACAGCATACGTGCCAGCACAGGATAAGAATCCTCCCCTTAGAGGCTGGTCTTTGATTATCGCGGCCAAACTGTAAGCAGTATTATCTGCCCCATCTATATACGACCAATTGCTCATATAAAAATCAGCGTCACATATTTTCCGTCCGTAGCTAAGGCTACCTGGGTAAATGCCAAATTTGGTTGTGTCAAAGATATACCAGGTCTAAATGAGTACGACTGGCGTCTTCAAGTATGCAACCACAACATACTCTGATTCAGATGTCAAGTAGTTGATAAACTGAGTAGCCCATTGTCACACCGCTTATAGCCGATGGCGTCGTTCAGAGCAAGGCCGAAATCACGCCTGATCTCTACGAACGACAGCCGGATGATCTAGCCGGTCGTTTTTATTCTGCTGCTGATTATCATGAGCTCTTCAAATCCGGGAAATTGACACCGCTGCAAGTAGCAAAAGCCCTACTCCCGCTCATCACCAGAGGCCAGGATCCCCCAGCCAAGTATGAATCGGCCTGGTCTGTTACAAGAGAAGATCTTGTACTGGCAGCAGCTAAGAAGTCGACGGAACGTTATGCTGCCGGTCAGCATTTAGGTGTTCTCGATGGAGTACCGATAGGAGTCAAAGATGACACGGATGTAGAAGGATATATATCCCATATGGGACGGCCCTTCGATCCATCTGATCCCTTCTTTAAACCGGCGACTAGCACAATTTGGCCAATCGCACAACTTGAAGCTGCCGGCGCTATCGTCATTGGCAAACAGGTGATGCATGAGCTCGGTTCAGATGTTAGTGGGTGTAATCCACGATGGGGGACGCCCATAAATTGGAACAACCCATTGTACTACCCAGGCGGCTCGTCATCTGGCGGAGGGTCGGCCATCTCCTCCGGGTTGGTCCCCATCTCTATTGGCACCGATGCAGGAGGGAGTGTCCGCATTCCGGCCACATTCAACGGCGCGTACGGATTGAAACCTACCTTGCACCGTGCTTACACAATGAAGTCCTCTATCTGTGTCATAGGCCCCTTAGCAGCGACAGCAAATGACTTAGCTATCGCGTACCGTATTAGTGAGTATATCCCGCCCATTCCTCGGTTACTGTAGACTGCCTCCCATAGCAAATATCTATGACACTAGGAATCGATATTCCAAAGCCTAATAAAACCCATATGCTGACTGTGAATGTATTAGTGACGGCGCCTAACCCTGAAGATCCAATACAGGGCTCTTTCGCGTTGTCAATTCCGCCGAGCCCTTCTGCGAAAAAAACAATTGCCATTTATCGTGACTGGTTCGACCAAGCTGCTCCTGGTGTCCTTAACGTCACTAGGAAAGCAATTGCATATTTTACGGATAAACTGGGTTACGAGGTTGTTGATATTAGTATCCCCTATGTACAAGAGGCCCAGTATGCCCACAGCGCGTGGGCGCTCACCGAGGGCATTGACCACCACAGTTCACACGCTATGGATCCAACGCGTCCGCTCACGGGTCTCAATAACTGCAACCAGCTTCTAATGGCTGTCGGCTCGTGCACGTCAGGCACTGATATGATCAAATATGGTCAATTGAGGGGATTGCTTATGGAACATCTCGCGTTTTTATGGAAGAAGCATCCGGGTATGTTGATAGTCACGCCGACGGCACCCGAAGCTGGATGGTTGATCCACCCTGGCGACCAGGCGTACGGATTTAGCGACGGCAATGTAACAATCCGCAACATGATGTATATCTGGCTGGCGAATTCGACGGGCTGCCCCGCGGTTAGTGCGCCCGTTGGTTACGTCGACCCCGAGCAAGGTGAAGGTAAGCTACCGGTCGGCCTCATGGCGATGGGAGAGTGGGGGGCGGAAGAGCAGCTGTTGGCTTGGGCAAAGGAGGCTGAGACGTATGTGAATGGCGCTTACGAAGGTGGCCGCTACAGACCACAGGAGTGGGCCGACGTTGTCGAAATTGCCAAGACTACAGAATGATGTCTCTAGACTTGAGCGACATGGAAGGAATTATAATATCGGTAGTATCTCTAAGTTTTCATGGTCAAAACTCTTAGATTATAGAATCCTTTGCGCACAATCATAGGTGCACTTGGAAAATAGTTCATCATAACAGGAGTTTGAGTTCTATGTTGTAACGAGACACGCAATTAAGGTACACGAGTTCTCTAATCCGTATATGAACTATGCCGCCAACTCACAGTCTAAAGCAATTCCTCAAGATTTGGTATTAATTTGCATCTTATCTAATTGCTGATTCACCCCACATGCTTTAAAGTAAAGACTCTTTTTTGGAACTCTGCCGCGTGTCATGCATACCGAGGGGTACAGCTTGTTATCGGCCCGGCCATTCTCTATTATACATACCTCAGCGTTAAAGCCTAAAGGGAAATACGTGATATCCTTCGAGCTACATTCCGACCTGTTAGCCGTTATGCTCATGCAAGGCGGCTACGGAATGTGACGGACCGTATAGTGGATTAGGCTTGCGGATGTCGTTATCCTCAATCGGGATGAGGGTTGGCTACGCGCTCTTCGATATCGGCATCCAGAAGAGGAAGGTGTTAACAAAATTGTCTTTCGCCTCTGTATCCCTGAGTAGACACAATACCACCGCGCAAATAGAACATAGATCATGTTTTTTGATGAGGTATGGTCTCGATTAAAGTTAGATTTTAGTTCTAATCCTTAAAGTGTTATGCATTTTTCTATCTAAGGGTCATTATATACATTAGGTACTGTCTGGTTTAATTTTGAGATTTTTAATACATATCTACCTAACATGAATCAACTCTCCAGATCATAGTTATTTATCTGAAATAAGAGCTACAAGAATTTAAGACACCTACTCTCTTGCTATTGTGTCATTTGGCCTATACTGAGTTGATAATGTTTAGTTGAGGAGAGATCCACTATAAGAACTAGGTACCAAGCCTCCCGATGTCACATTGCGTAATAAATACTACTGCATGAAAGTGTTTACAAGTTTTCAAAGGTATGTCTTGAGAGCCCAAAATAGGCGTACATAGTGCGATAAATACTTCTTTAACTCCCAGTTATTAGTGTAGGTATTATATATACGGGGAATAATGCCTCACTACTAGAAATGGAAAGTGGTTCGCGGTCTGGAGACAGACCCGTTATTCACATCATGCAGCATGTTGAAACCTATATGTAACGAAATTAATATATATGCTACCTGAATCGTACCTTTTCTTACGAGTCTTCAAGTGAGTACGGCAGCGCCGAGTAGAAGTATACCGGATGCATGAGTTAGCTTAGTAAAAGTCTTATTTACGTTCACACCCTCTCCTGAGGCTCCTTTGAGCGAAGATAGTAGGCTTTTGATTTAAACAAATAATACACCTTAACTCAGTATAATAACTACCTACTACTAATGTTTATATTTGAAAGTCTTTACAGTAGGTAATGTCACTAATATTGCGTTAAAAGTTGGCTCAACAATACGATCATCTCGTCTTACAATCATATATACCGCGACCTTGTTCATACAAATGCCTTCGCGCGAATAAGAAGTCACGATAAGTTGATCTAATGATTTCCAAGGTGTCCATTCAACTAGATATTGCACGAGAGGGCTAATCCTTTCGGCGATCACTGTAACTGGTCACGAAAACCTGGTCACCTACCCTAGTAGATAATTGGCTTTCATTTATGATACAAATGTAACGACGTTCTAAGCAGAAACTTTAGCTGTAGTAAGCCATTGCTGCACTATCATGATTATTGTCTTAGCGTAGCGATAGTTTACATTTTATTATTTTGCTTATATATAGAGGAGGAATAGTTAAAGATATTATCATCCTCCTTCAAGATTAGGTCTTAAAAAGTCAGTCACAATTCACGGCGTGGGGTTAGGTTTCATCATCGTCCAGTTCTCGGTAGATGATCCTAATGCTACCGGCATAGAGCTTCGCTCATGTCATTGGCCATGTGAAGACTTCTCTCTCAGAATCTCCAATTCGTATTGGTCCTCCTTTGCGCCATGGCCCATGGGCTCTAACCTCCGGGGTAGTTGTGGTACCCCCACGCAGATCTAGGGCGGGCAACTCAACATGGATTATCTCGGTAACATACCCGATAAGGGTTGTAACGGTGATGGTACCGGCGTCTTGGCGTCTAGAACCGGCGGCAGTACTGAGCCGTCACATTGATTTAATGAATAACGGACTGGAAGGTCTTAGGTAGCAAAGCTTGTTTCTTTTTACAGCTGTCTAGTGTTTTATTTCATCGCCTCGAACATTGAGTTTATTTCGACGACTCCAATGCCTCAACTACGACTTACCAGCTCGACATGGTAGTCCAACTACTCTATGAGGTAGTTGGTACTGCTATCGGGGTTCTTTTATACTCCCTCCTGTGTTTAGTGGCTAGTTCTATCATGATATGGCTGGTATGGGCACATCACGAGAGGGATAGCTGTACGTTGCGCGTGATCTAAAGTTAGCTTCAGGACGAAGGACAATTGACTGTTATTACGTGTAGATGTCGCACTGCTTTCATATTTTACGCTCTTGGGAACTGTTGCTAGCATTATTCAGCAATTCCACACATTCATCTGCTGGAGGGATGTCAAAGTTGAACAGTACAAATATGCCGTTGCGCATCTCGACAGCCCCGAAATTGTTATCGCGGGACCGTCCGTTGGGCTGGACCTTGTCCTCTTCTATATACGTGAGTATCAACCCTCGGAATGATAGCTAAGGTATCGCTAATTGCAGAGCAAGAATACTATACATATAATGCGGAAGCATTACTCACGCTTTTTTGGGCCATTACACTTACGCGGACCGTCTTCAAATTTAAAAACTTGACGACGTTTAGACGTATCAAATATAGAACGAGTCAACTGGCCAAAGTCGTGGCAGTCATCCTCCCCGGAATTCTATTGTGCCTCTTACGGTTGAATAGTGTCCAGAGTTCGTATATGGGATTCTTAATACTTGCCAACTTCAATAGTATGCGCCCCTGTTGTATTCGTCATCGCTACTAGTAAAGGACTAGTTAAGATAACACGACATTAGTAATGATCAGCCTAACTATTGGCAGTATCCTGTTAATAGCAATCCTTATTAAATATATTTACACTCGACGTCGACTTGTTTCATGGAACGCCCATTACTTATTTTCAAGACAGTCACAAGAGGCAGGCAGAGAAATTATCAACGTTCTGGATCAGGGAGATAGTCGTCAGAGCATATACGATCGCTGGCTCGTATTACGCTTCTCTATCGCGTTCGCAGTCTTAGGGGTCTTTCAGTTGATCACAATTCTCCTAGAGGTATCACAGTTATCGAACCACACGATGGAGAAACTGGGCGAATCAGCGAATTTGTCACAGGAGAGGGCCGAAAATGATTTCCTGCTCTTTATGCCGGGTGTATCAACAAGTCTACTTGTAAGTCAACCCCAAAGCTACACTTGATTTCCCAGTCGTCGATATTATCCGCTTGCTATAGACCTCAACGTCAAACTATAGGTTTCATTTAGCTTCTCAAGTTACGTTGGTAGTTATACCCTAACTCTCAAACTACTAGGTATTCGTTGTCTTTGGGACTACACGAACTTTTCGAAAAGCAATATATAAGACATTCGTCCCGAAGAAGTTTCAAAAGAAGCCAACCGATACAGCCCCCGTAACGACTATGATACCCGACGAAGACATTCATGTCAACGAAGGATATGGGGCGAGCTTCTACGATGCAAAAGGACAAAGACAGCCTGACTTGGGATCGAGGATCATAAATGAAGCAACGGCGGCGGCGGCGGAGACAAGCCAGCCTCTGGCGCCTACAGATTTGGCCAGCGGATGTGAATTAAGATAGAAGACATTACTGGACGGTAAGCTGTACTTTTTTATACAGCTTGCCAAGGGCCACCATCGCGATTTCTAGGTAGTCATATAATATTTCTTGGGATACCAAGAGAGTCTATGAAAGAAACTCCTGTACAGGAAAGAGAATACGGAATAGAGGCTAATGCTAGGTACTGAGCGACATCCGGATTCAAGATAGGGAATGATACCCACTTTGTTGTTATTTATGACCACCCCCCTATTTTATTAAGCTGTAATGATACTGAACCTTTCTATTATATATATTTAGGGATTAATAATCCATATATTTATTCGCAGTTGACTTCTTTAGAGTACCTAGGTAGGTAGAAACCTAGGTTGCTAAGATGTATCAATATATTGGATTCGAATTTAATCTACTCTAGGAATATCTGGCAGTATTGTATTTTAATAGGTACCACCTACCTACCCAAACATAAAGAATATGCAAAGTAGCGAAAGGATAATGATGGATAATTTTTCTACCACTCCTGTACGGAATCTCGAAGGCATTAGATAGGACTTAGCACCATTAGGTCGTTATATCGCAAGTATTATTGAAATAAGAGACTATATGAAATTATAGAAAGTATTTTCGGTTCCAAGACATATACTCTTTGATACATTCGGAACCAGCCGCACATTCGTAGCCCATGGGACGATGGGAGTACTGGTGTAGAGCCAGTAAGCCCACGCCCTTGAAAATGAACCTAGGTGAAACTTTAATACCGGAGATCTTTGAAAGAAACCTGTCACCTACCTAGGTCCTTTATGAGGTAGGCTGTATAATATCATAGTCGCTAAGATCATGTTGCTATTCCCTTGCAGTTCGGTTCATTATACTAAACTTCACTAAATCAACATTATTCAACCTCATAATAGAGCTCTGGTTGAACATATCCCGATATTGAATTTATAGAGCAGAAATATGACCGGGCCGCACTTCGTCAAACAGCACTATATACAACTTGAATATTTAATGTTGCCCATCCATAAGGGTCCAGTCTTATATGCAAGTTTAAACATCAATTCAAAGGCTTTACCGATGATAGTTCGGCATATATTCCCTCGAACAGCGTACCTAGCCACATTGTTTTATGATCTCCCGTTACCTACTAAGCACATTGGTACACTTCGATCCCGGTACTGTATGATTGGACGTTTTTTAACATAACTAGTTAACAAGATTAAAACCACTCACATTACATCTTAGTTTAGCTATTGTCATTGTATTTAATTATTAACGGAATTGTATAAAAACCTCGAGAAATATTAACCTCTGTTTGGTAAGATAGGAAAAAGCGTCGTAACCTTCTCATGATATTACCCCTTGCTAATACCGGGGTCGGCTTGACCTGAGACGCTAATTGGCTACTGATCTTGATTAATCTTATCAGATCCGCTGATTAGATCCTCAAGACTCCACATCTCCGAATTTATCCCCGTCAACCTGCACTAGAAAAAAGTTTTGAGGACAAAAGGTTTCTTTAGTTTACAGTCTCGGGCGCTTGACCTTAAATACGTCGAATCATTGGTACGTACCATACTACAATCGTCATCTAAGCCAATTCAGCTACGATGATCATCCCGAAGTCGCTCAAGATAGCATATTGACCTTGTTGCAGGATTCTATTTTCAGAAGTTAGGTAGGTACCTATATATTAAAATCTCGCCTTTTAAACCGGTGCTTTCAAATAAACTCATTAAAGAAGCGTGTATATTCTTACTGTACCTTCGATTACTAGGTAGGGACAATCCTCTACCCTAAGTAGCTTTGTGTGAAGGCTACAGGACTCGTCATGAAGTAAAGACTATTAGAAAACGATCCGTGCAGTTACAACCCTTGCCTAGGTAGCGTATGGTGGATGTGTTGGGACCTACTTACCTAATGCATACCAATACCACCGTTGTAGCATCGATCCTGTTTAGGAGGTAGTTACCCACCTTGAAAGCTAGAAAAATGAGTATATATACCCAACGTAGTCATGTTTGCACTTAAACATTTGAAAGACTTCATGATCCTGCATTGGCACTATTTAAGTAGCAGAGCAGTCCAAAATGTCTCTTCCGCTCTTTGTTATATCTTTTTTAGTATGCTCTCTCCAAGCATCTTCTGTCTCTGCGCAGAATTACACGTGGCCGTGGCAAACTTATAAATCTAGTTCAGCGGAGCCGTAAGTAAATCTTGATCTTATTCACCTTCCAATATACCATACTTCCTCTAATGAATACTTCATTGAGTATTTACCGGAGTGAGGAGACCTTAGAAAGGACTTCGTGACAATGTCGACATATTAAGCGGGTACTTACTAGATATCATGTAACCTAGTCCATTGCTAAATATCACCAAATCCGGTCCTACGTCTCCTGGATACCTATTTTTCGACCAGAATGGGGAATACGCGCACAACTACAGCCTTTTCATTATGTCCGATGACAATGAACTTATCTGGCAAAGCGGATATGGCGACTACAGTGCTTTCAGGACCCAAACATTCGAGGGCAGACCGGTATTAACTTTCTTCAATGGAGTCTCGCTAGCGGAACCCTATGGATGGGGCCATGGAATTATTCAAATTCTTGATGACTCTTATACAAGCATCTACAATGTTTCATTAGCAGCAGATGAAGGAAACTTTTTGACTATACCGGAGCTTGATCCCAACCAGATTACATCCTATCTCGATATGCACGAATCCCAGATCACAGCTCAAAATACCATCCTTGTAACATTATACAACGTTACCAAATACGATCTGAGCTCTGTTGGTGGACCACAAGATGGGTGGGTAACTGATAGTTTGTTCTACGAGCTCGATGTCAAAACCAACGAAATACTTTTCAAGTGGAGCGCCCTAGACCATGTCAACCAGATTCCCATTGCCGATGTCCAGCAGTTTTATCCTGTTGCGGATTTTGGCAATAACCAATCTATTCCGTACGGTTACTTCCACATCAATTCGGTAGACAAATTTGCAGACGGATCATACTTAATCTCTTCGAGATACTATTGTTCAATTTTCAAGATCTCCAAAAACGGCAGTGTTGAATGGACACTACAGGTAATTTTAACCAAGCTTCCCGGGATGTTTCACTTGCACCTAGTAGCTAACGTCATGTAGGGTCAAACCGGCGGAGATTTTCAGCTTGATGGTCGACTTTCGTTCTGTTATCAGCATGATGCTCGTATTCAACAAGAATCGGGGAAAACAGTTCAGATTAGCCTCTTTGATAACGCAAACTCTGAAATTGTGTCTGGCATAAATCAAACCAAAGGCGTATTCCTGACCCTCAATACGGAAACTATGAAGGCTACACTGAGCCAAGAATATATTGACCCACAGGACGCAATATACGCCTTTTCCCAAGGAAATGTACAGCAGTTAGAAGACGGGAATGTTATCATGGGGTATGGGTCGACACCTAAGATAAGAGAGTTCAGTCCGGATGGCGCTACCTTGATGACTGCGCAGTTTGGCCCTGGAGATGGTCTCATCTTTTCTTATCGTGCCTATCGTCTCCCATGGATCGGTCGTCCCAAGTCACCTCCGAGTGTCTTGGCCTGCAGGAATGAAGCTAGTAACAGTACCGCAGTATATATGAGCTGGCTTGGTGCCACAGAACACAATTCTTGGGGGATCTTTGCGGGAGATAGCAACTCTAGCCTCACTCTAACATCACAAGTGGAGAAGACCGGATTCGAAACAGTAGCAACTATACCCGGACAAGTTTCCTTAATCCGTGTTGAGGCACGAGGCATGGGTATCACTGGCGGAGTTTCTCACGTGGTATCATCTCGAAGCAGCTGCCGATTTTGAACAGTGCAATACCTCAGAGTACTCTTTTATGAGGCCCCTCATTCCTAGCTCATATGCAATACGGACAGCTGAATACGGAGTTCTCGAAGGCTTTAATATTATTTTCTCAGCGAAAATACACAACTCTTTGACAAATAGTTACTCAAAAATTAATGATTCCATTATATCAACCTAAATCTCAGCTTGTGACTGTAAATAACAATTTAGCTCGAGATCACAGCCTCCGGCTCACGATTAAAAATACAAGCCACAACTTTTTAGCGCTATGAATGCACCATATGAACGGCATAACTCTCTTTAGCTAGTGCTGGCATTTAGAGTTATGAATATTCTGAAGCAGCACACAGCGGGGAATGCAGGTAGTTGGCAGATTCTGCCCAACGGTGGGATTGGCAAAAGGTTGGCCTCATGGGGCTGAATATGGACCTCGTGGCTCAGCATATGGGCTAGGTGTAGACAACGCGCTTGAGTATGAAGTACAGCAGATGGTAAACATCTTACTACGTGACGAGTGATAGTAAAAGCAAGGGATGCGTTAATGTTTTAAGACGGCGGGCGATAGGCGGCATAATGATGATTCTACCCATCTCTTGACGCATATAAAAGCAAGATAGCAATCAGCAAAATGATTACGCGATATACATACAAACATAATGAGAATAATGAGCTATCACATTACAAGATGCACGTGGCGCACCACATTTTATGTAGCTCGAGGCATTATTAAAATCTACAACATAAATACAGCTATCACATGCGCGCTTTACAATAGACGTTCCCGAAATGATGCTTTATATAATGAAGAGGTTTACGACTTTCATATTACAAAAACTTCACCATTGCTACATAATGTTACCTGAAGCCGACAGCGCGGTCGATGAGCCACAATCGCCCCGGAATGAAAACGGTAACAATCACCCTATTGGTGCTTTAAAGAGCAGAATATGGTTCAGTCGTAACCATTATGTCGGAGCACTACTCTTCAACTTGGGCGCTTTCGTCCTCCCGGCTCTATACAGTACGCTATCTAAATTATGGGTTGCGGAAATCGACTCGTCACTTGTTGTTACGACCGATGTATACACCTATATTGGAGTGGTAGTCGAGGTTCTAAACGAGGGCCTCCCCCGCGCCTCCTGGGTCATCATTGCGGACAAAGACTCGCGCTCGTTAACACAGCGCCTCAGCTTAGCCTACACGCTTATTCTATTTCAGTCTATCCTTGGACTAATAATGAGTATTGCATTTATCGCCGGCGCCGCCACATTTGCGGAAGGGTTTGTCCCCGTCGAGGTTCGTGCCGCGAGCTTGACTTACATCCGGATTAGCGCCTTCTCGGCCCTAAGCTCGGCGATTGAAACTGCTGTGGCGGCGGCGACAAGAGCTCTTGACAAGCCCGATATTCCACTGGTTATCAGCTTGACTAAATTTGCCATAAATATTGTTCTGGATATGCTGATCATTTCACGATTCCACGTTGGCAACATTCAACCGACTATTAATATTCAAGCTGGCATCCAGCTTGCTTGTAATATGACGGCTGCCTTCATAGGACTTGCTTACTTTCTTTGGACGACGAACTTGCAACACCGAAATCATCAACTAGAACTTTTCGATAACAACAATGAGGATGTTCCTCGGGTGCAGATAGAATCCGGTACCGAAATCCGTTTGAGTTTCCGTGCCTTGGCTGTACTACTGCGGCCTGGGATTCTAACCCTCGCTGAGTCGGCCATACGAAATGCCCTTTACCTCTGGCTAGTCAGTACCATCGTGGCGCTAGGTTCTACGTATGCAACCGCCTGGACAATATTCACTACTATCCGCTGGGGATTGGTTATGGTTCCCGTTCAGTCACTAGAGGCGACGAGCCTTGCGTTTATTGGTCACCACTGGGGATCTTGGCGCCGTTCTATTAGTAAGACGACGCGTAGGCCTGGTCGTGTCGCTTTCAAAACTATCATCCGAATTATAAGACCGGCTCTCGTTTCCTTCGTTATCGCCCTCATAGTTGAAGTCCCTCTTGCCATCTTTCTATCCATATGGGGTGCTAGATCGTTCGCTCGATACCTGGGCCAACCGGATGAAGTTGCAGACATCACAGCATACATGTGGCGGACTACTGATTGGTGCTACATATTCTATGCTATGTCGACCCAGCTTGCCACGGTTCTCCTGGCCACACAGCCCAAATGGTACCTCTACCAGAGCTTGGTTAGCAACCTTCTCTACGTTTTACCATGGGCCATTGTCTGCCAGGTGAAGGATCTGGATGTGAGCAATGCTTGGACTTATCACAGACTAGTTTTCGGTGGAAGCTTAGTGTTCAGTTTCATCGACGTTCTGGTTGTGGATGCTGCGTGGGTATGGACGTTGATGACCGGAAGGGCGAGGCTTGAGGTATTTCGAGAAAGCTGATATGACACTGATGCGCATGTCATGTCCCAATAAGGCTTATGGGTACTATAGGTACGCAACACGAGACTATAGAGACATATAGAAACCATGATCCATAGTTTCTAGGTATACGAAAGCCAGAGTATATCTATTATGAAATCTAGACCTCCTATATTGTCCAACCTCTCCGGGAGGGCTGCGTATAGCACATGTACTTACTTTTCTTCGCCAATAAGGCTATCCAAGCCCAGTGTGTGCATTCTGGAAGGTAATACCATCGAGTACCCGTGGCAAATTTCCCCTCGCTATTTAGTGTCACCAAGAGAAGAGTTATTGCCCTTGACTTACTAAAACGAACATTTTATATTCCATATAAATATGAGGTACCCAAGGTACTTGGGTGGCTATGCCTGAGGAACGTGCCAGGAGGCAAACGCGTCATATTAGTGTGAAGTGTACCTAGTGATGTTTGTTAATGCAACCCTATAGCCAGAGAGAACTATCTACGAAATTTAAGATCGATTATTGTTACTGCTGCATGTAACCGTCGTAGTGTCGGCCTTCCATACATGCATGGATCTTTATTCTTCACCATTTGGATCATGCATGGAAGCTTTATATCTGACCTTCCGTTTTCGTCGGTTTATCCCGTTCCATGATGTAGTCTAGGTATAGTTAGATCTTAGTCGCCAACTTACACATTTCATACACTGGACATACCAAGTGGCAAATAAGTAATGCGCGAAGCATGTCCGAAAATACTGACCTCTTCTTATATACCTACCTTCTTAGTTCGTCTGAAGATGCTTCCTTGGTATCGGATAGAGTTTTGATTCAGAGACTCGACTAATAGATAAAATATATAATTACGGTGATCAAAATTGATATAGCTTCGAAGGCTTCAAGGAGCATGTGTGTTAGGCGGGTTTTGCGTGTAGAAAATAGAAAATAGAGGATTATATGAGTGCCAACTTCGGTGACGGGAGACTCCAGGAGCGTAAGATCACTATTATCAATATCAAAAAATAAAGTATACCAACAGGTAAAGATTGATTTGGTAGATGGTTCATCACATGGTGGGATCTAAATCTAATCTAAGCTTTTGATACCTATTTGGTATCCCTATCCAACCTGAGAAGCAGCATTTCGCGAATTTAGGAATCTATTTACAGTGTCGTCATGTAGTCCAACCATATCCTGCAGAGCATAAAGGAGAAATAGAGAGAATAAGGAGTAAATGAATGTCGTCAATCGAAAATTCACAAGAGCAACTCTGCTCTCCTTTCAAATTCCAAGTGTAGCTTTCCGTCGACAATACTGCTCCTCGGGCTGAGATCCCACGATGGACTCCCGCTTTATGCTTCGCCAACTCCATCATCATCTGCCTACCCCACCGACCCTAGCAAGCTTGCCAGCTTTGCAAGTATTAGCGATGTACAGGTGTGTCAATACCGATAAGTTATGTCTGTTGTTCACGAGTCGAAAATGGCACCATACGCGGGGATTCCACGCGTAGTCATACCATATACAACCTTCTCCGTCACCTTGGGGTTAGAAATGATGAAAACAGCTTCCGCATTCGACTCATGGACGAGCTGATATACTTCTCGAACAATGTCTGGGTATCCCCTCTCGTGTGTATTCCAGATCACTGCGTTGGGGTCGGCTCGTCTGACTTCTGCCACAACTTGAGGGCCGTATGTCTCATGAGGCTCTCTGGTACTCCAGAATACACGGCGCGGTGTGATATCAGCAAAGAGAAGTGATAAGCAAGGGCCAATTCCAGATCCGGTAGCAACCACAACGATTCGGCTAAATAGCTTCGATGTGTAAAGAAGACCGTGAAGAGGCGCGCCACGAACCCAGAGCTTTCGCTCGTTGGGCTTGTTGATTTGTTTCTTGGTCCAGTCGCCTGCGTTGCTGACAACGACGCTGAAGCCATTAATCTTTCCAGACTCGGGGTCAATGTCGGGAATAGTAGCAAAGGCGTGCCACTCAGTTAACGGCTTGTCGCTAATCTTCAAACCATAGAATGGTGCCATACCCCTGTACTTGAAGTGTAGACGCGTAGCGTGGTTACTCAGCTTCTCCGGGTAGACTGTTGGGTGGCGTAGACGAAGCCATGAAGCAAGAGTGCAAGAAGTCGAGATGCAAATGAACCAGAAGTTAGGCGAGCGAATAAGGACGTAGCCAAGAGAGGCATCCCATTGCCTAGCAGTGACTCTGGCTGAGAAGATGTTGTGGATCCAGAAAGTTGTTAAGGCTGTCCAACCAGCAAAACGGTGGAAAGCCTCGAAGTAGTCGTGGAACTTTCGTCGTAAAGCGGGGTGGGCTGACGTCAAGATCACGACGAACATCGAAACCAAAACCCAGCTAGTAATCATGTTGACCAGCTCATCAGTCACTGGCTCATCGATCCATTCCTTGGTAGCTAATATCGTATAGAGGATATACCATACGACCGCGGCAGTACCCGCGCCACTGTGACAACCACCATAGTGGAAGACCTTCGCAAGGCGCTTTCGGATGTAAAGGGGCCACGAGTGAGGGACGCATGTGAAGACCTCATACCAAAAATTGACAAATTCCTCCTGGCGGAAGAGAATGCTGACCATGAGGTTGGCGGATGCGGCACTACCTACATCTCGAGAGTTGGGTTTGCCTTTTGATGCTGCTAGCAGGGCGACGAAGACAGACAAGTTGATCGTAAAGATTGCCCCAAATACTTTTCTATATGAGGAGGCATATTTGTCTTGTATAAACATTAGCCCTATGTTTCATATAAATCGTATAAGATGTTTACACTTACAGCGGACTTGTTGACTCAGCTCAGATCCGAGTTGATCGGGGAGAACCGCACGCTCGGTAACTGTCTCAATTTGTTTCTCGTCGTTGCCTTTGCTGGAGTGTACGGACGGAGTGGTTGTCCCCGTCGAGGGTCCCGCCGATGATAAGGGTTCAGCGATCGTAATCGGTGTCAGATCCCCTGAGCGGAAGGCATCCGCCTGTCCCTTTTCAGAGTTATTGACCGTCATGTTGAAAAGAGGCGATGTCTTTCTCTGAACTTTTAGTTGTTGGTCTTGCGGACTGGTTGGCACGGGGAATCCTACAATCTAACAGCAAGAGCAGGGCGACGGCAAGGGATATAAGTACTCAATGAAGACGAAAGATATCCGGCCTTCTATAAGAGCGGCGAGATAGTAGTCTGCCAAGACCCGGTTTACTCATTCTTGAATACATCGAACGATGCTGATTCTTCGATATCGCAAAGATATTCGATAACTTAGTCTTATGTGGCAGTACCTCCGGTCCAGACGAACGCAGTGTGCATCCCCATAGTTCCAATGATGATAGAGTCAACCGAGTTAGCAAACTGTGGTATCTTGCTTGCTTGACGAACTACTGGATTTGGAAGTTCCCCATGCTGATCCTAGTCTGTGTTGCCTCAAATCTGACCCGGGAATCCACAGTCGAAACATCATATGGCCCTTGGCACCATGTATTGGAAAGGATGTAAAGGTGGCTTGTCGTTACTATTGTTGCGGAGCTAGAGATCCCTAGATCCAGGAACATCAACCACTACAGAGGATATCTGAGGATATCTGTGGATATCTGCACGCCACATCGGCATATTGTTAAGAACCGGGCGTAAATCTGCGTGGTGGTTTACTAGGACAAACAACACGCCCAGCCCTATTAGGGGTGTGTCACCTGACTCCTAAGACGAATCCAGACATCACAACCCATTGGAACCACTACAACTTACTACAATGATAAACCGTAGAATTCATATTAGAAATACATACCAGAAGTCCCACTAAGTTTACGGATGGATTCGCCCTTGGTGTTATAAGTGTCTGTGTTAGTACAAATCCAACATATTAAAGAGTAGGTCAAAACGAGCTACAATGTGGAAATATAGCCTCTTGAAGATATGGGCAGACTAATCCTTTCTTCTAGGTAGTCTATAGATAGACCGAGATGTTTCAACTTATTTCGCTTAATCCTCGCCACGCGGTTATGTAAAGACGTTAAAGGCATGCGGCTATGCCCATAGGCTTACATTGAAATTTGGCCAGTTCTGGATGGGTAGGTAAGGAGGACATTGGGTAACAACAGGGTTGTTGTGCTAACACCTACCCAGGTTATCCAATGCCGAGGCTGAGGGACAGCTTTTGGCAGGTAGCATTTAAATTTTGTCTCCTCTGTGTTACAAGCTTCGTTCTTATTGGCTTACACCAGATGGGATACCCATGGGACACCCATGTCTTTGCATCGACTACTAACAGGTTGACCCTGTTCATGGTCATTTACTTACTACATATTGCCATCACGAATACTGAATCTTCAGCCGCGAGAACTTGGCATGCATTATCTTATCCGTCTCTAAGACTGGGCGTAGCTCATTCGCCATCAAGTCACGAATGCTCAAATCCACACCCTTTCGGATAGCGCCATAAAGGGAAATGTGATGCAAAGCAATGCTATTGGATACGCCTGACGCTTGATTTAAATGACAAGAAATTGTAGTCGTTACGCGATAGAAACCAACATAGGAGGTATGAGATTAGTAGGCGTTGGGAGGGACAAGGCTTGGCATCGCCTCCAATGCTACCACTTGAGAGCTGGCTAGTAAGTCACCTCATCTACAGCTTCTCAATTATAATGTAAGATGAGTAAAATTCACTGGTTCCTACTATTCGTCGGTAGTTTAGTACTGGTAACATCCCGAGTGCGCCAGGACACTCTTATCAATACTAGACTAGATGGGCTATCCCTGAATCGCATCCGAATTATATAACTTCTCAAATAATTCTAGCTGATGTATTTCGGTCTGCTAGTGGTACTAATTATATGCAATCGGGCTAATCCTTCGGGTCGATTTGCTTAGGATTCTAGCCCCTGCTTGTACCTATCATATAAGTCCAACTTTTTTTTTCTATTAATCTAATTAAATCCATATATATATCTTCAGCTTCGTAACTTTACTAGTTACTCACAGTTTATTGAAATTCTCTCTATATCTCAAGTACCTAACTTACCTAAGGTATGGTAACCGGAAGGCGACCGATCAGATTCGGATCTTGAACATCATCCGATACGGGAACATGATCGGTACCTACCTTTGCCTCTAGAAGTCCGTGCGTGATTGGCCCGCCTGGACAGCTCAGGGGGGCTGGTTCCCTGGTTCCCTGCGATGCGTTGACTCCGCAGCTTGCAACCCCAATCAACCTTATCTGGTTCTACAAGGATGTCCTTAATTTTTCTCTCTTTGTATCGCGCCTAATAATATCATGTCACCCGCTCTAAAGTGAAAAAAAAAAAAAAAAAGTCCAGATCTTAAGACCCTTGATGTTTCAATTCTGACCCTCCTTGCGACTTTCTAGCTCATTCACATGCCGAAGCGAAAGCCCCAACGATCCGGTTTTCATTACCGGTCGGGCGGATCTTGATCACTATACTTTACTATGGTTCGTGGGTCTATCGTTCACTGCACTCACACTTATACTACACTGCTTACCCTTAAACACCTAGTGCTGTCACTGAACACCAAATCATAGTAAGCGTCGTCAGTATAGGCTTACCAGCTGCTATCTTTTAGGTTATCATGCCCAGTTAAGATTCGGCTTCGGTTCTCTCCCAATCCAAATGCGGAAGTTGGGCTTAACGAAAAGCTTCTTCTGAGGCTAGGTATCTCACTTCGAGAATCTTGCTGCCTCGGAGCTACCTTAGGTAGATATTCGACAATTTCATTCCGATGGTGCGAGTCGAATCGACCCTCCGATCTAGATAAACCCGATACGCTGGCAGCCCTCATCGCGATTGAAAGCATATCATGACGTTCAAGTTCTGAGAAGTTTTCTACAGGGTTGAGTGAATTTCTTGAATGCGCAACACATTTTGCCACATTGAAAGCGGCCTACCATCTTCGGTCTGGTCCGTTTTTGCTGTTGTAGGTAGTATCTCGACTCGTTACGGTCAAGCGGGTGCGAGTCTATCTAAGAAGCCATTACCTCGGTGATATATGATCAAATCGCGAAGCTCTAGCCAGAACTATTATTTCAGGTTTGACTGCGAAAGAAAGTTATCGTAACTTGGAATGACGGAACTTGACCTATATTTCAGCCATAAGTCTACTAGGTAATATTGGTCGTCATATAGGAATCATGTTTTCCGCTTAGTCTTTTCAATCCGAGTACATATGTATTAACACGATGTCAGCGCTTGATGACGATTATCTGTGGTACATAGTTCTAAAGCATGTACGGGGATGTACGCCGAAGGAACATCGATTAGACAGTCCCTTGCCAATGTCTATCAGTCGACTTATGAGATGATTTTATATGATAGGTACCTACTCAAGTACTTATATAACAGGTAAGAAAGAGATCGAGAGAGGATCCTTGCTTTGAAGGCCTTTCTAAGTCACCAGCAAGGCTGAACATTACAATAAGTAAGTAAGTCCGTTATTTGTTTTCAATGCTCTACTTGAGAAAAAGATTTTCATAGTTAAGTACCTACCTGTTGAACTACCTGACCCAGGTCTGGATAAAGTGAGAAATTGATTTCAAGTACATCTCAACTCCCTCCAACTTGACACAATTTCGTCAAAACTCTCAACTACACATATATTACCAGTGACTAGTTCAAAAGCATTTTCCTACTAAGTAAATCTCCGCTTAAACGAAACTCTAATTAATTCATGACTTTCTAGAACTATGAACATCCTCGAAGTATGGAGGATACGTTTTAAGCAGATATACTCAACAATAACGATCTCCATACTCGACCTATCAAGCGTTATGGTCTTAGACTCAAATTTTACGACCAAGAAGGATGATTTTTCTTTCCGTTGAAAGTGGCGACTTAGTGACAGAGGCCTTGATGGTATCCACCCCTATACTTCTACATGCCATCACCAATGCCAATGATAAAGCCACAATTGACCACAGGTACCTGGATCTAATCCTCAGTATTCGGATAACCATACTTGTAGATCCTCTACATCAGAATACGAATAAGATAGTGATAACATCGATTTTAGTTTGGAGATTATTGGACGGTGTTTGGCCCATCTACGAGGTGATACGATAGCAAAGCATATTCCCGAGCTGGCGAGAAATCTTTTCCTTCACGGAGCGTAATCTAAGAAGTGCATCGAGATCACTAAGACCATCATAAGACCGTTTACATAACGCATTAGCTCTAATAGACGATTGAAATAAACTTCGGAGATCGCGAGCCGAATGATCTCGCAAGTTATAACGAACTTAGTCTCTATGAGTCTGAAAGATTCTATCCGCTATAAAACATTTTAAATATTCAGCTCGCATATATAAATTCAAGTTCTAAAGAGATAAGTATAAAACTTACGATGAGATATAATACAGCAAATATCTTCTAGTTATGAAGTGATTTCATTTCCCTAATGTTAAAAAGGGTGCACAAAAAAGGGGAACATGGTACACAGTTATTGCCATCATTCATGTAATGACAATATACATGGTTCTTAAAGTGGCAATTTCATTCTTATTCTAAAGCTACGTTTTACTGTTTTTTTCCACAGCCATTGTCTGCTTGCCTTCCTAGATCCTGTTAAGCCATGCCGCCATTAGCGCGGACCACCTGGCCCGAAACCCAGGTTGAGTGGGCCAAGAAGACGATAACTTCAGCAATCTCCTCAGGAGTACCAATGCGGCCCTGGGGGCTAAAGTTTGCGATAGTCTTGAGCAATTCGTCACTCTTGCCGCGAAAGAAGAGCTCGGTTCCCGTGGGACCGGGCGCAACAGCGTTGACGAGGATACCCTTGCGTCCGAGATCCTTGCTCATCACGCGAGTCATCTGCTCAACAGCACCTTTGGTACTGTTGTACAGCAGGTATCCCGGCATGACAGTCGATGCTGTGGTCAATGAGGTAGATAAGAAGATGATGTGCGAGCCGGGAGACATGTGCGGCGCGGCGGCCTGTGAGGCGAGTGGTCAGCAGCTGTGCCACACCTAGGTCACGGGCAGTTCGCGGGTGATTAGTTCGCGGGTGATTAGTTCGTCGGTGAGGATTCCGAATGCTTACCTGGGCGAGAAAATAGGGGCCCTTGACGTTGACAGCAAAGGCACGGTCGAAATCAGCCTCGGTGGTATGCTCGAGGTCTTTCATAGGTAGGACCCCGGCGTTCGGTACAAGTACATCGATCTTAGAATAGGCGTCGACGGTCTGCTTGACAAGTGACTGCACACCTTCCACGGAGCTAGCGTCAGCGCGTACAAGGCGCGCTTCACCTACACCTAGCTTTTGCACTTCGGCGAGAGCGTCTTGCGCGGCTTGCTCATCCGAAGAATAGTTGATGACCACTGTAGCGCCAAGACGCGCGAGTGCGATAGCTGAGGCCTTGCCGATGCCTTTGGAAGCACCAGTGATAAGAGCAACCTTGCCGCGAAAGGAGGGGGAGGGGGAGGGGGAGGGGGAGGGGTTAGAGGCCATGGTGGATGCGCTGACGTGAGGGTGAGAAACGGTAGCACGTGGGTGATCCCTGGATGGTGATGCAGAAGTTGATAAAGAAGAGTGAGAATGACCCGGTCGGAAACGGCGTAAGAATTTAGACAAGGCTTTCTTCATTAGCAGTGAATGCGATCCGGCTTAAACCGAGAAAAACTCATCGTCTAACGTTGTGCTTTTAACAACAAGAGATGCCCTGTGTATAGTAGCGTATAACGGCGCTATAGTCCGGCGAGACTGAGCCTCAAAGACGCGATAAGTCCGCGACCGTAAAAGCCGGTATTTCTTTAAGTGGTTCGGTTCTTACTCCGCTAGTTTCGGGCGGCGCTCTCTGAATTGGTTGCTATCTCCGGCGGAGACGGCACCAAAATTATGGGACAAACAGTCCCGAATTGGAATTTATTGTCCGCCGTTTGTGCGACCAAAAAAGTTTCAGTAAGAGGTATCTCACCCGAGTGGCTTAGCAGAATACCTCTTCTTCTTGTGACCTTCAAATTATGGCTACTGTTCTATTTCTGAACATTAATAGTGGGTTAAAATTGTTATGCGATCTTTTAAAGTGTGTCGGAAATATCTTACACCACGATACCGGAATCCGATGCCTTAAAATAACAGTTAATTCCGTAAGACATGTTTATTAACTCCAGATTCTAAACATCCGAGTTATAGCAATATGATATAAGTGAAATTAAGTTTATAGTTTTCTCCCAACATAAATCAAGATATATAATTCAAGGATAATTAGCTAAAGCAATTTTATTCATACCTCCTATTCCTGAAACTCCCGCAAATCCCCCGGCCTTGAAAAAGCTTGCTTATGGTTATTTTATATTTAATACTAGGTTAGCTTCTCAGGTCTATAACCGTTGCTTATCAACAAATGTCAGATTATCGTGATCCAGATCTAGTCCTTTATCATCTTATTAAGATGGAAAGTGTCTAATAATAACGGCCTATGCTAGCAATGCTTTAACACAAGTTACCGTGAGCTGAAATTCAATTAACTCCGTTTCGATTCATCTTCTAATGTACAACTGTTGGTTGACAAATCATTATGATCCAATACCATATTTTCTTAGTATAGTAAGCTTAGTCCATAGACAAATAGGTATTTACGGTAATCTTCTTATGAAATTCTCGACAAGTATGTTAGATTATTGTATTACGTTTCTGTCCTTTTAGAAGAAAAAAATTGCTCAGCAAGATGAATCCGTTCTATATTGTGTAGTGTATATGAATTCTAGATTATTGTTCCATAACATCTAATTCTAATATACTTTAGGGTGATTATAGTTTCTAACCTTTATACCATATCTTTTATGATGAAAGCCAGATGTTAGAACGCATCGAGCCAAGAGTGCATCAAGAGACAGCTGACAGATATCCCTTACAAAAGGGCTTTAGAGGAAATATCACTACAGATTTGACCGTGTTGATAGGCCCGGTCTTGCTTACAGTAGCTGACAATATCAGGTGACTCATACGCTTCACAGCCTTATAAAATCCGAAGAAAATAAAATGCAATGTGATCTCTGAGCCATACTTTCCTTTCAGTCGGGTCCTGCCGAGCTTTCGGCTCACCAAAGCCTACTCAGACAGCCGGGAACATAATCCCATGGAATGCAAAACCAATGAATCTTAAGCATGCAAGCCTCACTTTGCATACAATTGGCTGGTTTCTTATCAGCTCACTGCACGGCTGACCTTTGACTATTGCATCTGACTGGCTAACAAGCCGAGCCTCCTAGGCTTAGGTGGACGGCCTTTCATGATGTCATCTAAAAAACCACTAGGATAGGCGTCTAGGACGACATTCGCAAGGCGTCGCGCCGCAGTCCATAGTTCTTATACTTTTCTGGTGCTACGATAATGCCGAGCCGGAATACGGCAAGTCCGCGCAAGGAACTGCCAATTTGACCAGTTAGGATCGGAGGCGTACTTATGTGCAACCCTTCTTATCTAGATGCGCCGGGATAGACCTCCTAGCATTCGACGTATAGGTAGGTACACATTTTTCTATAATGGCTGCTTTCGGAAAGACAAACGTTCCAAGATCGGGAAACATCGCACCTACAAAAAGTAAAAGCATGGTCGAAATAATGTCAGCGGATGGCGCAAGGTACCGACTCGGGCGCTATCATAAGTCGTTGCATGAATGGTATAGGGGCATGTCAGAAACATGTTCCTCGTTGCTGAGAGGCACAGCTCCCGGAAAATGAAAAGGGTGGGAGAGGTAAGCGGCGAGATGATGCGATGGCGACTCCCTCCAAGCTCGTATATATAAGAAGAAGTAGGCGTGATTTAGAGGAATAGGATTCATTACGTTCGGCCGACCATCCCAATCCTTCAGAGCCAACAGGTGTTAGATCTACTATCACACATCCTTCCCCTTTTTCCTACGACCATGATGTATACTCTCCGACTCTCGGTCCTGGTAGCCGCCTTATTGCCCGGTCTTTCGGTGATAGCTGCTCCTACACCCCAACCCCAACCGGGGGACTCCTCGATCACCGGCCTCCTCGGCACTAGTTTTGGTATTCCTGGCCAAGACTATGAGTTTGATTATGTCGTGGTGGGCGGTGGCCAGGCTGGTCTCGCAGTGGCAGCTCGTCTCGCCGAGGACAGCTCCCTAACCATAGGCGTGATCGAAGCCGGCGGCTTCTACGAGCTTACCAACGGTAACCTCAGTGAAATCCCCTCAGACGCGGGCTGGTTTACGGGCAAAGCCACTGATGATTGGCAACCTAATATTGACTGGGGCTTCATCACGGAACCACAACAAGCCCTCAATAACATCACCGCTCACTATCCTAGAGGTCGAACACTAGGTGGATGCTCTGCCCGCAACTTCATGGCCTATCACCTCGCCACGAAGGGATCCTACGACCAACTGGCCAAGGAGGCCGGCTCGCCGGCTTATTCATTTGACAAGTTTTTCCCGTACTTTACCAAAAGTCAAAAATTCACACCTCCTGTAGGTGACACCTATGACCGCTTCGCCAACTCAACGCCCCAGTATGATCCATCCAAGCTCGGTACTAAGGGACCTGTGTCAGTAATCTACCCCAAGTACGCACAGCCGTTCAGTACCTGGGCACGCAAGGGATTAGAAGCCATCGGCCTCAAGCCGCAGCGCGGCTTCGAGAGCGGCAACCTTTCAGGCGGTTACTCCTACGCGCTCGCTGCAATCCAGCGTGAGGAGAACACACGTGAGTCTTCAGAGACGGCCTACCTACGATCCCATCTCGGCGGACGTAACCCTAACCTTATCACGTTCATATCGACGCAAGCTAAGCGAGTGGTGTTCGACGGACAGAAGCGTGCCACTGGTGTGTTAGTTGACACACTAGGTCTTCAATACACCATCCGTGCTCGTAAGGAAGTTATCGTCTCGGCGGGAGCCTTCCAGAGCCCACAGATACTAATGGTGTCGGGTATCGGCCCCAAAGACACCCTGGAGAAACATGGTATCGAGGTCCTTCAGGATAGCCCTGGAGTTGGACAGAACATGAGAGACCACGTTCTTATTGGTACTTCATACAGGGTTAATATCCGCACTGCCGCTGCCTTTGGGGACCCAGAGCAGGCAGCCCTATTCGAGAAGCAGTATGCACAGGGTAACGGCCCCATGACGAGCAACGGTGTCGACCTTCTTGGTACGTAAGCCCCGACGTAGATATTCGAACCTGCATTTCATGCAGATTGATAACTGGTTACTAACCACTGGAGCAGGTTGGGAACGTCTCCCCCGTAACCTCCTCAGCAACGCCACCGCTTCGGCACTCGACTCCTCCTTTTCATCTGACTGGCCGGAGCTCGAGTATCTCCCCGACGGCGCCTTCTTCGGCAATTGGAGTAATCCTCAAACAGTTGCGCCCAATGATGGATTCCAGTACGCAACAGTAATTGCCGGCTTAGTGGCCACGTTGTCGAGGGGTAACGTAACCATTCGGTCCAACGACACAGCTGACTTACCCATTATCAATCCCAACTGGCTCAGCCACCCGGCCGATAAAGAAGTAGCCATCGCCGGCTTTAAGCGCACGCGTCAGATATGGACGGCGCCGGCTATGCGCCCCGTACTAGTGGGTGAGGAATACTACCCTGGCAAGAACGTCACGACCGACGAGGAAATCTGGCACTATATCCAGGAGAACTTCTCTACAATCTTCCACCCCGCTTGTACCTGTAAGATGGGACCAGCAAGCGATAAGATGTCCGTGCTCGACGCCAATGCTAGGGTCCGTGGTGTCACCGGTCTTCGTGTTGTAGATGCTTCAAGTTTACCAATCTTACCTCCAGGTCATCCCATGTCTACCATCTGTACGTATCCCTTTCGCTATTAGAACCTCGATATAATGTTGCTATTGTACTATTGCTAACTGCTGATAAATAGATGCCCTCGCCGAGAAGATTGTTGACGACATCCGTCACGGCAACTAAGCATTGCATAGTATGCTTAACTACCTAATCTACTTTAGACATGGACATAGACTTAGATTTTGCTATAATGGGCACAGGCTCTCGAAGCTGGATTACTTTTGTTATGCATGGGAAATTCGGGAAGGCATCATTTCGGATATCTCAGTTAGACTTCTCTATCCAAGCTTGATTAGTCTCACGATGTCACAGCTTCGGCCTACCTGTACTTTAGACTTTACCATTCATCTATAAACCAACCAATTACAATGTTAAAAAGAATTAGGAACATATAATTACCTATTAAATAGCTCTGTTAATGTGCTGATGATTAAATTTTTGAAGTCAACCCGTAAATTTAAGAGGATTTCATGACTGAATGGCTTCATTGAGGTAATAATCGCTAATACGCTCTTCATAATACGAGCTCCTATATAAGAAACAACGACCTTTATTGATTGACATGCAGCAGAGATACTTCGTAATTATTATTGCATAATTGCTATAAAATCTCATATATGCGCAAGCGTTTTTTTATTCACAATAACCTTAATAACGCCCAAGTTATACTTTACTCCATCCCATCCATCCAGAAACGCCTTAATAATATATCCATAGAGTCCAAAATCATCACCATTTATCACCCAAAACCCAAGACTTCCTCTACTCTATATACGTAACCCCTATTCACACTATACCCCTTTTCCTTATCCTTTCTCAACTGCTTATGACTTATTCAAATCCTCACTTCCCGGCATCCAATTCTTCCCCCAGTTCCCCCCCTCGCTTCCAGGGCTCTCCTTGATATCCCAGTCGCGCTCGAGGCGCCACTCATCTTTACCCTCGATATCCATGGCTAACAAGTCGCACCCGCGATGTCCCCATTTATCGGCGAAAACCCGGCGTCCGGCGTCAACCAGCGTCTCAAGCCCCGCCGCGAATCCTTCCGGATCGCGATAGAAGGGATCCGCCTGTCCGCCCGCCTGCCGTGTCTGCCATGCGTTGCGCTGCACCCCTTCGTCTACCAACTTCAGATCCTGCATACGATTCGCCACCTCGACTAGGTGGGCAAAGGTCTCGCCCTCTTTGTCTACCCACGGCCACATGTCCTGCTCGCGCTTTAGCTCCGCTTCCCGGTGAGCTTTCTCAGATTCCGAGGTACCGTCGCCACCTGTCGCGTACACGGGGTCTCCCTTGAATGTAGCGTGCGCGCCTGGGACACGGAATAGGGCCATAATATCGTCAAGCACTGTGGAAACATCAAACACAAGACCTGCTTCGCTTTGCGGCTGCCAGTACCCCTCCCAGTGCAAGCGCAGGTACATATCGCAGTCGGAGGAATAGTAAGGGATATGCGTGTCCCAGGCACCGACCTCGAGGTACGCGTCGCGGTTCACCAAGGCGAGGTGGTCGTACTCGAAGAAGTGGGTAGCCCACGGCGGCATATCCGGGCCGTTTAGGTATCGCAGTAATCCGACACAGCGCTCGTAAATAGTCGCGTACGGGTCATGGTCCCAATCGTGATCGCGATCATTCTTCTTGACATCCTCGTCGCTAAGTACCAGCACGTCCATATGACTCCACCAGAAAAAAGGCCAGTCACGCTCGAGTGCCGTGTGTAGGAAAAAGTTCTGTAACTGGGCAAAGCTAAGTAGAGTTGGCGTCTCTAAGATTTTCACACCAAGGATATCCAGTGCCGTATAGTTGAGGAAGAAGGGGTTTTGCAACTCCAGCTCATGTTGCCGATTCGCGTGGAATGTGCCTGTATTCTCAACCACATAGATATCTTCCGGCGGCCATCCTGCCGCAATATAGCTACTCACACATTGTAACAGCAACGGCCAATTCCGTGTGAAGCCGATAAATAGCGGCGTCGCTTCCTCGACGTGCGGATGGGGAGGTAGGTTGTTTTCGAGGACCGGTGGCGGAGAGTTAGAATGTGTGAGCCAAGGGAAATGGTCTCCTATAGGGGTGAACGGAATTGATTCTGGTTTGTACTTTTTGACGTACTTTATAACGTTCTCTCCCTCGCTCATTGGCCTTTCCACATTCTTTTCATGGATAGCTTGAGCTACATTAGCAGGGCCCTTGTTGGCTTCCTCGCCATTGGTGCCTTCTTTGCCACCGATAACGGGAAGGCCATCTTGATCGCCCCCTAGCCCAGGAGCATAAGAATCACCCTTTCTTAGAAATGATATATTACTGACAGCTATAGTTAAAGGCTCGCGAATGATGTAGTAGACGAGGAAGGCGGCTAACAGAACAGAGCCATAGCGGGCAGCAAGCGGCAAGGCCCTGTTCGATACCGTTCGCATCATCGTCAGCGTTACTATCTCCGCACCATGAAGACTCCGTTACGCATATTGGTCGGGATATACTCAGGAGCTCTTCTACCGGAGCTCGCTGAATCGTGGCCCGTGGCCGCGTGTCTCGATGCTAATATGAAAAGTGAGACGCAAGCAATATAAGAACCTGGAAGTCCGACCGGTAGATGAGCAGGTCTGTTTCAATTAAAGAAACGCAGAATAAAGCAATCAGGGGGGAAGGGAATACCACATGAACAAACAAGAAGAAGAGAGTGCAGAAGTAGAAGAGGCCAACAATATCTGGCTGCTAGAAAGGACAGCTACGGCCATGTGTACCACACCCATCCCCTTCAAAATATTCATCCTATCTCGCTAGGTATGTAGGTTAGTTCGGTAGTGCTGTTCAGCGAAGGATCATCGTCTCCAAACCCTGCCAAGCCGGGAGATGTTCAATTCGAAACCACTATTCGCTAGAGCGAGCCGGGATCAACTGCCTCGCTGCTCGTCCGAGACCGTCTAATCACGTATCTTACCCTAGCTGTAACGCGCCAATCGCATTATCTACCTGAAGTAACCCCACCAAAAAGGTTGAATTAGGACGCTGATATCAAACCCATATCCTCGTTTGTACGAATTTCCTCGTTTCTTCTCAGTACTGAGTCTTGGCCCGCGTAGAAATAAGACTAATAATTGCCAAGGAATCGAGTTAATATCTGCAGGAACAAGAAGCTTACTTGAAATAAAATAAGGCGTCTCGAAGGGATACTTTATGAGCTAATGTGCACTCCGGTGGAGGGGCAGGGGTCGCTGTCGATTCTCCGGCATCGATTTTACCACTATCGAGTCCTCGGCCTATATATCTCGCGAGTTAATATTCCTCCTATTTATCCGGTGCGCATGGGCAATTTCGACTGTTTCTATAAAGGTATAAAGGTAGGTGTAGATCGCCGGCGATTCTCTCTTAATCGGTTGACAGGTTCATTTTAGGTCTCGTAGATCAAAGTCGGAATTTGGTTTATTTAGGCCATTAAGCTAAAGAAGCTTAAGAGGTGAACTAGCTTACCGCGATAGAAAGTGCGGAATAAAGTGCTGAACGTTCCAAGTCTTTATGATTAGGTAGATAGGTAGGTAAGTCAGTTCCCCGTGATCGATTGTAACATTGATCATCTATCGGTGAATACTCCTTGACTACAGAAGCAATGTCTCATTGCCAGAAATGTGTAACTCTACTAATTTTCCATGGGCCGAGAAGAGACAGAATCTTCATCGATAACTATTATCGAAAAACAAAAAAAAAAAAAAAACAAAGAAAAATTTCAAGGGAATCGACACCTAAGTAACAGTCCGCCAGTGGCGGGTAAATGGCATTCGATAACAGTAGTTGAGTTCCGGCGCCACTTCGCCCCGTCAAGATGATAGTCCAGAACGCCGGGTTTGTTCCTCAAGCTTTTTCATTATCCTGCTCCATCAAATTTGGTATCCCTTCACGTACAGTACCCACTGTCCTTGTGTATTTCCAGCATCACAAACCAGCATCTTTGGATATGTGTAGTATTATTCCTCACTTACCCCACCCATGAAAAAACCATTGGGTTTGCTCGGTTTCTTTCCCAACTTCAATAAGCTCAGCCTTTTCTTGACTGAATTAAATCCTATCCCACCATCATTGGGTCTATCAAGGTCACTCTCAAAGACATCTACTATCTCCTTGCTTTTGCGTGACCGGTCGACTGTCCAATCGGGTGTGGTTGCGTCAACGACGATACCATTAGAGTAGGGCTGAGCATGCGGATTTGAGCTGGGATTAGTGTCGCTCGACTGGGTGCGGAATATACTCCTTCGATTTGAATTATCCTTTCCTCTGCTTACTTGACTGTTAGAATCGCTGTCACCTTTGGTTTGCAAGCTCAATGTGTCGCCATTAGACTGTTGAGACTGCTGGGGTTCCTTCTTTTTCCCACCTAAGAAGCTAAGTCTTGTCCCACGTTGCTTCATAGAAATTGGTTGAGCGGCCGATGCTTCCTCTACTACACCGGTAGCGTGTACCGTCAATACGCCGGCTTTGGCTTCCGGAGACAGGTTCTCTGCAGTGGGAGATGACCGTTGCCAAGCTGGTGACGATGCAGCTAAGGCGTTGTCGCGAGGCGGTTGAGCAGGTGCGAAAATCGCAATCTCCGGTGCGAATGTAGACAAGAAATCTGAGGCGTGTTAGTCAAATTAAACGAAACCTGCATCGATTACTTACGCTTGTACGAGTCCTCATACCCCTTCAGGAGGACAGGGTTTGTGCTACGAGCAAAACTGGCTAGGCATCTCTTAATCATGATTGCGTGATCTACGAGCGCCATCTTGATTGCGTTCTCTTGTTGGTCTAGCTCTGGTTCCTCATCATCCTCGGACTGCGGGGTAGGAAGAAGCTGACGATAGCAGGCAACACTACTATCCGAGTCAGGATTTACCGAGATGCTAATAGCATCTACCATCAGTTGAGCAACTTCTTCATCTTCTTCTTCGGCTAGTTTCTTCTCGACGGCTGTCATTTCTTGCGTCTTCCGCACAATTCGTTCAAGGGCTGTCTCCTTAGCACCCAACCGTATAGTGTGGGTATCCACAACCTCGCTACGCCGTAGTATGGTAGGAAAGGGCTCAGCCGTAGTATAAACTATCTTTTCAGCATAGTGAGTATCAACGGGTCCGTTGGTACTGCGCTTAGACGATACTGAGAACATCTGTGCATGAGCCGAAAGGAGATAATCGCGAATAGGCTGTGGGACTCTAGTGCGCTGAAATACCTGATGACTTAGATCGCGATGAGGGCTGAGGGCTGAAATGACTAAGTATTGCCCTTCAACTTCACTGTCGACATCACTAGACGTAAGGATCTGGGCTGCTGGATACTGCTCTTGCATACGGTCTGTAAAGGCTGACGTCCGCTCGATGGGCGAGCCCTCGTACACAAACGCCTTGTCGCGCAGATTTAAAGGGAATCCGAGACCTTTATATATAACCTTGAAGTATTTTGGTACCAATTTATCACTCTTTGCCAGCTTTTCATAAATGGTCGCAATAGCTCTTTCGGTTCTAGCAAGTTTAGCGAAGTCGAAAACATTACTCTCGTATTGGGCCTGAAGTTCCTTATAGGCTGCGAGCGCACTACTCCAAGCTTCTCCGTCTTCGAAGTGTTTAATCATATCGAAGTAAATTCGCTCCTTTCGTTCAAAATGAGACTGTTCTGGAAGATCTGGGTCTTGTAAGGCAGGTGTTAGCCTTGAAGGGTCCCAATCGTATAACTCAGCATGAAGACGAAGGGCTAGTCCGGCTTCGGTATGATTCTTGGCATCAAATTGCAAAGTCGCTAGTTGATGGACGTATCGGATAAATATCTCCTCTTTCTGCATGTCTCTGAGAAACTCCATGAGCTGAAGGCGGTTGATTAAGTGAGAAGCTTCGCTCGTGATATCTCCACTATGAACGGCGACAAGAAGGTCCAGAAACTCGGCGATTGTCTCGATCAAGCTTCTTAAAGCAGAGTATAGTGGATCGCCTCCAACTAGCGACAATGGCTCAAATCGGTCAAGAAGCTCACTAATGAAGAGCTTTTGCAAGATACTTTCAGTCATGGTCTTATCTTTGAAGAATCCATCCAGACAATCGATCATCTCTGTCTGGATAACTGACAGGTCTTCACTCAGTGTCCATTCGCTGACGATCATAGTTTGGAGAACTTCGACGGCCATTCTCCTCAGTCCTTCGTGAACGCTTAGGCAAAGCTCAACTATAGGACCAACCAGTGTAGGGACGTATTGGACTTGATAACCGCCCATCTTTATTAACCCATACCGGGATCTTTCATCAGGGCTTGTCTCCCAACCAATAGCTTCCCAGGTACGCCTTAACAACTCGGCACCGTGTTCCCTAACGTCACCGGCAATCTTCCAAACTGCTCTTCGCTTTTGTTCCGAGAAGGTCTCGAGTGCCAAGTGTCCGCTGCCGACTAGTTTTAGCAGTGTGGAGAAGAACATCCGCCACAGCTCCGTATCGAAGTCTTCGGCCTCGTCGGGGTGAGGCAAAAAGGATTCCAGGAGAATGCTTGCAAGATATTGTAGTGTTCTCATAGTTGACTTGTGATGGTAGATGTACACACTTAACCAACTTGACGGGAAAGCTTCTCCCTGCAATATACTTGTATGCACGTGGAGTGTATTCTTCAAGAGGCTAGTGAGATCTTCTGCGGCCAATTCAAGTTGCATTCCATTGGGTGAGTTCGAAAGAGCAGATAAAATTGCCGACAATTCGATCAAAGCCTCGTCAAACTGAACAGCATCGCCAGGTATCTGTTTGCTCGGGAAAGGGTATGTTATTGGAAACAAAATTGAAAATCGGGTTTTGGGTTTCAGCTCCGTAGCTTGGATAGATAGGTAAGAGCCGACAATCTTCGGTATGTAGTCAGGGATCTCAGAATTAAGATGATCGACCTGGCTAGCTAGGACCGAGCAACAAAGGCGAACTTGTTCCTTCCATTGCTCTGTGACATCGTCCGTCCGACCCCAATGTGGTGCAATCCATCTTACCGTGTTTGCACAGAGAGCTGATCGTTGCTCCGGACCAGCAAATAAGTCCAACTTAGAGTAGTTGATGATCAGAACTAGCTTATATAGCACCAGCTTACCCTTAACCAGGGCACATGAATCCATAAAGTCAATGGCTATGTGAAGGATCTCTTCAGTAGTTAATAATCCGGTAAGTTCAGGCAACCAGGTGTGAAAATGCTGTACAGCCAATGTCTGACTTCCGACCAAAACTGGCGCAGTGCTTCGCATCATTGAATCAAGAGCCTTGAATATACTTTGCAGGTGTCGAGTAAAGCCGGCCGTGCTGCCGGTAATGCCAATACCAGCCTCTTTAACCTTCTGCTGGCCTCTCGCATGCGTGATGAATTTAAGGATATGGCGTACAACCTTAAGGGTAGCCCTAAGCTTCCGAGCAGTCTCCGACTCGGTTGGTTTTGTAAGGAGCCGTGTGAAGGACCTGACAAGGCAGGGCGTGGCGAAGGGATAGTTGAACCTAGTCTCAGCATAGTGATCCACCAAAGGGCCCAAGTTAAACCGACGGTCGTGGACTATGCCCAAAACTCGAACAAGAGCGGTGAAGACGAGGTCTTCGTACTCATCGTTGCCTTGATACTCAACCAGAATACCGAAGAGAGCATCTAGAACATCGCTTAGCAACTTGACAACCTCAATCTCAGGCACAAACACGAGTTGCTTCAACATCGTTGGGATTTCGTCTCTGGGACTCTCTTTCCATTTCAATAACCCAAGGACTATTCGATCCTGCGAGAATCTGGTGCTACAGAGATACGTATCAACTCGAAGAGTTGCAAGTGGGCCGGTGACATCACTCTGGTCGCTACGAGCGCTCCAGGGAAGAGATAGATACCCACCCCTACCTGTCGGCCCGGCCTGTGCGGTTTGCGTGTACTCGTCCAACTTATAGAGGAGTAGAGAATGCGGGCCGTCACCCAGGAACGCCTGTTGATCCCACAGGGGCATGTACGCAATTGCAAAAGGCGTATTAGGTAGGTCGGAAACGGTGAACACGACATTTGATGTACTAACATCAGCGGGCAAGAGCGAGAGTCGAAGAGTTTGATCCCAGTGTTCGCCACGCTCTACAGCAAATGAGCGCCATGTAGTCATTGGCTCCGAATTTGAAGACGCGTATATACAATCCTCAATTCGCTCTCCTGATTGCCGCCGGACTTCTAAGGAAACTATAAGATTGTTGCCGTGCACGTTGCTGGATATATTCGTTGCACCAGCTCCAAAACGCGAGATTAGATTCTGACGAGCTAGAAGAGCTTCCGTGACTGTCACGTAGATGTCAGACCGAGGTTTCGTCGGGGCGCCAGAGAATCCCATCTTGCTAGTTTTACTAATGCCAGCAAGCAAAGTAGGAGTCGTTTTGATAAGAGCATCTGCATCGGGGCTGTTGAAAGACTTCAGGTGAATTTGTAATCGCTCTGCCCTCCTAGACTTTTCGTAGTGGCCTGATTTGCTTTCCAGAAGGTCACGAACCAGTCCGTCCCATCCGTCAGCGCTGTCATGCTTTTCAGTAGTAAACCTCGCGGATGGTGACCAAACGGTAACCACATGCTCTGACTCTTCATCCTGTTTCATGATCGAGTTCAACCCCAGTACACCCATGCCCACCATTCTCTCCGCCAACATCTGCGTTGGCTGTGGTCCGTCGAAGGATTGGCGTCCTGCCCTCGAACCGGCAGTACTCGGAGGCATCGTACCATCTCTGCTCTCGAGAGTATCCGTTCGAGGCCGGTCCTCCGGCTGTTCAGATAAGGCATCGAGCTTTGTTCCACCTCTAGAAAACGCAGATCTCGTAGTTCCCCACATAAAGCTCCTCCTAGAGGGCTTACCACCGGAGGAGGACGGTTTGTTGTTCGAAAATGGCGTATTAGGTTGACCAAACGAACCTGACCTCGAGATAGGGTTATTGGATATTACCTGCTGTGGGGAGCGTACCTTGACAATTAGGTATAGTTCTGAGTCGGCGGATGGTCCATCGCCGATATCAGCGGAAGTCAAATCAGTAAATAAGGTACGCATCTGCGGATTTCTGGTCAAATAACCCATCGTACCACCTGATGGTACTTCAATTATGTAGCTTTCCGAGAGCCTCGTGAGGGTTCCTCCGATTGATTTACTAACGAGGTACAGTACCAACGTTGTGGGTTCGTTGGAGGAACCAGCAAAGCTCCTAATATCGACCATTAGATGGTGTAATGCGGACAGTTCGGCTTGCGGCTGCGGTGGTTCGTCTAATAAGCTCATAACCGACTGCAACTTGGTGATTTCCACAACCGGATCGTCACCAGTTAAAACTCTTCCTCTTTCATTGGGATCTCGCACAATAACCTCTCCACCACATAATTTATTTCCCCTGACCAGGTCCCAGACAGTCCTCTCTCGCAATGCATCATATTCACGAGTTGTTAGAAGGTTATGTAGAAATTGTCTCCTCGATAGGTCCAGGGCTTGTATTAGCTGGGATACTTTGTCAAGTTTAGTATATTGCCTTGTAAGCAATAGCTCGTGAAAATTAGTCGAATGCCATTCACGTAGACATGACGCGATCTCGTCTACCAGAGGTTCCATAGTAGAGGTAGGCGTTTCGTCCCCCAACCTGAGCATTGGTACCGGCGCGGCTGGCCTAGGTGCACCAGGTTCGCGTATTCTTAACTCGGAAGCACGGGTGATTGCACCACCTAACATAGTACCATTCGGTCTATGCAGACTACTCCCACCCTCTAGGTCTCTAAAGTAGGACTTCCTCGTGCTCGAGGCCACTCCACTCTTGCCAGAGTCGCTCCCGATAGGCGGCGCATCATCATCTCCCTGATAATTACTACTATTTTCCGAATTCTCGTCTCCGTTATCTAGCACCTCGCGTATCTCAACGCATGTGCGTGGGAAAATGCCGGAAAAGACACGAGCCTCAAGAGGTTGACCCCTTACGGAAGTTAGGCCAGCCAGAAGCGAGGGAGGCGCCAACAGATACCCCCGTAGCCATTGGCCGTCTGCGGTCTCTTCGATAATGTATAGATCATCGCCAATCTCTAGGGGAAGTTCGTTCTCGTTTTTGGTCTCGAAAGGATAGGTCGCGACGGCGAAGGCGATACGAGGCAAAGGTTGCCAGGGCATTGAGGCGGTTGGTCGCACCGTAGCTGCGGATCGGTCAACCGCATGAGGCGGCAGCGAAAGATGTAGGATCCGATCTTAGCTTCTTACGCGGGTACGTACGGACGGTAGCGAGTGGAACAAGGGAAATTCATTCACTTGCGAAACAGCGGGCGACAGGTGACCGAGTGACCAAATGGTAGCTCGTCGCAGGTAGACTTAGGAATGAAGGAGTGACGACGATGGTTGGATAGTTCGTTTCATGAGACGGCTGGTCTACTATTATTTTTGAATTTGAATTTGGATCGGTCGTCGCAAATCGTGATGCGGTTAGTTGTATGGGCTTGGTACTAGGGGCCCGAGAGAAGTTCAAGTTAGGGGAAAAAACATTAGAAGATTGTAACAGGTCAAAAAGATGATAGAAGAGGATGGGGGGTATCAAAGATCACACAAATGAAATTGCCGTTGACGAAGGAGAGTAATTGTTCGGATAGTCGAAGCTTGCAGTTAAGACGAAGGCCAGCAGAAGGTTAAAAAAAGAGGGTATTCACACAATAGAGTTACCGGGGTTTACCTCTCGTATAGGCAGTAAAGAACTTTGATACTGAATAGAAGAACAAAGTTTTGACAAGGGGGGGGAGCCTTCAATTCGAGTTGCAAGCTTACAAGCTTCACCATCTCGTTAACATAGTATATACATTTGATAGTACCTGCAAAATTGCGATAGGACGGGCCAACGAGAGGTTGCGATTGGGAAGGACAGGGGTTGCTAAAGAGAGGATAAAAAATTTAGTGTAGTCCGTTCAACCCCTGGCTCTGTACGTACCTACCTACGTTAGGTACAGACAAACAGAAAAAGACATGGCTTGCAGGCGCGATGCAGGAGAATCGAGCCACTGGGCACTGGGGAAGCAGCTCTGAGACTTGGGAGACCCTGCCGAGATAGTTGGGCAGAGTGTTACTACTTAAACTACTTGTACTTAAGTAGATTAGCTTAGCGTCGATGTTACGCCGTTGTACGGAACTAGCGACATAGATATTGCCTGTTTCCCCTTTTGAATTTACATAGTGCAGAACAATTTAGAGCGGGTCAATGCCCACATAGCACATTAAACTGACGGCGCCACGGGAGGGGAATCGTCGCCCATGATCCATCAACTCTCCAACTAATAACAACTTGTAATTAACCTTGGGAGTTATTAACAACAGAAAATCACAAGGTCACCTCGATATGTACCGGACGCCTGCGGTACCACTTCTACACGCGAACTTCATTTAGAGCTACATATTTTGAGACTTGGCAACCACATGGAGAATTACCAACGGCGCATTCAAATTTCCTACCCGAGTCTTGTCATCCTAGTTATCGTATTTTCATCTAATACTTACATATTACATTATTTACATTATTTCTCGCTATTTCGCCCCCTTTCTGACACGTCTAACTTTTGCATAATAATGAAAACACCGCCGAAGCATAACGTTACAAGTTAGACATGTTAACCATGTGAAGCAAAGCCGGCTTTATGCCCAATTATCGATCTTTTAACTTTGGGTCGGACACCATCCACAGAACATTTCGCCGTCCACCAGTACACCCAAACAGACCCCATTCATAGATTTCATCTCGGCCATATCATCCCGAGATATCTTAGCTCAAGGTTTTATTTAGTTCGGAATGTCTTAAAGCATTTCAGTCCGGTAAGAAGAGTTGAACATGATTCATATATTTCACTCTTCCCATGACAATACAATCACGTCTGTACTAATTATTCTCCTTACTCTATTGTTATACTAGAGTTGCCCAAGAGCTGAAGGGCCGAATCCCCTTTACACGTATTACCTCGATTCTTGCCATGTCATAAATTATATTCAACCCTCAACCATGTTTGGCACAACTCGATTCGAGCTGTCTCCCAGGGCGGCGCGGCTTGCGTAGTATTACCTAAATATAAGTTTTAGCTCCCGTGTTCTAGCACGTCAACATAATTCCCGGCACCTAAGGTAAGGAATACTATAGCCTTGACGTCACTATATCCCCTTTGCCTCGAGGAAGATATTATTATTCAGTACCATATCATCTTATATCGGATAGGATCTACCTATAAGCTTGAAGCCGCTATGCTAGTTACGCCTCAAGCAGCAAGGTTGGGAGAATCGAATGGCCTCTAGTTCCCGCAACGCACCCCTTTCAGAAGTATAAATAAAAAGGTACCTATCCAGGAGCGATTAACTTTTGGGTGTGACCGATAAGCTTTGCCAGGATTCATGCATACCGACAAGTGCATAGGAGGTATTGGTGCTATACGTAAGGCTCACTGCATATGGCCCCATGTTGTCTTACATCAGTGTATATCAATTACAAGTAGAAACTGGTCGCTTTATGATTCTGGTTCTCTTAGTAGAATACTTAGCCATCCTATCCTACTCACTATACATCCAATTATCAACAAGATACTCTCTCCCATTAAGATACTCTCTCCCATTTAGGATGACGAATTATCCTTAACGTATATCATACCTGCTGCAGCAATCCAATTCTAAAAACGCAGCCTGTTTCACGAGCCTTAGAGCTTAACTCGACCTTGCAACTATAAGTTCTTGTTTCTCAAAGATTTCCTTTTTTGCCGGTTATATTATTTTTGGTAGATTAGTTTGCAAAATCACAACGTCAGGATGAGTTATGTTAAGACGAGGCGAGTTCGTACGGGAACAGGTAGGTAATGAACACACTCCAGTCCTTGTATTTTGAGTATATCATATTCCAACACTTACGAGCACAAGATGAAATACACAAGAAATCGTTATTAAGGAGTGTAGAAGTGTTCTTTGCCAAGTCGCACATGAACAGCTAGACATCTATTTTCCAAAGTCCTCAAATATCTGCCTCGACGGTACCGTCCCTCCCAGTACTCGTGGAAGCATAACCAGAGTCCGAGTACTTGTCGAAAAGGTGGCAGTCGTTAGCATTGCCAAAGTCAAACTGGTTCATGTCAAATTCATCGAATGTAGGGTCTAGAAAGTACGACATGTCCAGCAAAGCGTCCTTGTCTTCCTCACTCGTCAGGGCGGGCTGTTCCCTTGCGACAGGGGAGCTAGGCGTACGAGCCCTTGGAGTTGCAACAGGGGTTGCCGATGCCGACAAATCATTATGTGGGAGGTCCTTGAAGAACTCGAATAGACCATCACGAATGATGTCAGGGAGGCCGACCAGCATATCAGCCTGAACTTTCTCGAATGACCTCTCGACCTTCTTCTGTACAAACTTAGGCAACTCTTTTCTGAGCCGCTTCTCTACCTTCTTCCATTCAGCACGTTTGGAGAATCCCAGGGAATCGTTGCCGTCATAATCTATCGGATGGTTAACACTTTCACGCTGCTAAATCTTGGATTGGCTTACATGGAGTTGGCATAGCATTGAAGTTAGCACTTGGGAACAGGATCTTGTAAATCTCTCCCCATCTCTGCTCATCAGTCATGCCGGGACAGTTCTTCCTTCGCACTTTTAACTTTGCTTCGGTGGCCTCATCGATGCCTTGTAGCATTGGAACTACATCTAACTTCTCGCAAGGCACGTCAGCCCGGAGATGTTCAGCTAGATCCTTGGCATCATCGAAGGGATCATTGCATCTAGGACAAACATGTTTCGGCAACCGGTGAGCGCGATAAAGATGCTCCCTTATACGAATTGTCAGTATGGTAATATACACATCATTACTTTGGGAGACTTACTTCAAGCGATGCAGGGAAGTCCAGCCTGGGCCGGCACAGCTTCGGTGTTTGTTGTGCGCTTTTGGGTCGTTTTTGTAGAAAGGGCAAGCGAACTTTCGCTCCGATTCCGTGTCTTTCTTCGCACGCTTACTGCCGCCTCTATCCGGATCACCTTCATCGCCCCCGGCCGAAGAATTATCCTGGTCATCTCCACCCAATCGACGTTTTGTTCGAGTTGAACGGCCTGGTTGGCCTTGCTCAGAACTACCACTTCCAGACTCTGCACCTTTAGAGCTACCAGCAGAGCTGCCCGAAGCTTCAGATGCCTCACATGCATCTTATTAATGTTAATGACTTATCCAAATTTAGAGCATTACTTTCATAGGAAAGTAAGGGGGTTAATGAGCAAGAAAACGCGCTGCGACATACTATACACGATGGTCAGCCCCTATCTAATAGAGAAAATCGTTCATACTCACCAGGAGATAATTGCGAGTCTCTTATCAAGCCACCGGTTAAACTTAGCCATTACAAGCGCGACACCCTCTTGTCTCTTGATGGCCACGTACTGATCAGGTGTCAGTCCTCTCTCACTTTCGTGGTTGAGTCGGCAATGGCTGAGTTCTCGAGCAGCGCGTGTCTGCTTTTCGCCCTCCATAAGACCGGCTACTCTAGATCGCTTCTGTGATGATTCCCCAGGATTAGATCCTTCGTGCTGTATACTGAATTCTTTCCTGTATACACTAAGCTCGCCCAGACATTTCTCGGGGTCTAGATTGACAAATCTAGTATTGTTAACGATGAGCGAGTCCCCAGCTAGAATATGGTCGGGACAAGCTATCCTACTCTGCTAAAGCGACGGTAAGAACAGTTTCATTTCGACTCTTATGGGAGCCTTACCGAGTCACCGGCGCTTGTCGGTTCTGGTATCTGCGGCTTGGTAAAGTCACTCCTGGATAAGGTCAACTTCTTGACCATGCTTCGCTTGAGGCGATGTTCACGACGGGGGTTGATCCGCTCCCACTGGGCCACGAGCTTCTTCGTAGTCGCGTCCCAAGTGTGCTGAAAGGAATTAAAATAGTTGGTTTGGGAGTGACGGTTCGGTTTTACCCGCCCGATAGCCAAGTTGTAAGTATGAAGAGATTCGTGCAACTGACGGTGGCGATATTGATAAAGGTGACAGTGAGGAACAGAGCTCTCTAGGTGAAGGCTGTGAGCAGTTTGAAGCATCTCTCCTAGATATAATGTGGAGTCATCACGCAGGTGACGATAGAATAGTCGCTTATAGGCAGCATTTATTGACAATTAAAGGGCCAGGTTCAAAGAAGTAGTAATGGTAGTAGCAGAATGACTTTCTTCGTGTCCCTGATATTTGGATATATCAATTTCTGTTGAAATAGGGAGAGTTAAGATATACGAAGTAAAATCGCTATATTTCGTTGATCTCCCCGACCAAAGTACGCAATACTTATACTCTACCGGTTTTGCGCAACGGCGCAAAACGAGGTGGAGATATGCGCAAGCTGACAATCTACCAATCACGCATGCTGACGTGCTCGACGCTGATTGCGTAGAATACCCTCGGGAGCGCAACACAATAGGACTTACCGGCATTGTGTGCAATACGCCTTCGCGTATCCAACACCTAAGGCCCCAGCATCGCGAAGTCCTAACCTGTGCATTACCCAGAGGACGGCAAAGTCGCGCGGAACGTAGCTAAGCCAATATCCCTCCTTGGGAGGATTTATAGCTCGCAAGCGATGTAGGTAGTCTGAGCAAAATCTTAACATCGTTATCGCGCTTCAGCGCGCGGTATAGTGGCCATCCATAAAATGACGGCGGAGGCCAGGCCAGTATAATGAGTCTCCGTAGACAAACCCAAACTAGAATCATTAGAGGAATCAAGACCTGAAGAACCTCTTACTTTGTAGAGATTTTTGTCTTGGCCGACCATACAGGGAACCGCAGTTACACTGTTACCTTCTCACGGGGAACTCCTTTTGCATCCTGCCAAGCTTTTCCCCAAGACAGCGGATAAGTCCAGGGATCACTATGTCTCAAGCCACAATCTCGTCAAACCAACTTTCCAGCGACCAGTAAGTAGCAGGTTGCCTTGGTAGCAAAATCTCTTCGCTAACATAGCGGCGCGATAGAAGCCGACGAGCATCTTCCGAGATGATGAAATACTATCTCGCCAGTCGCCCCAGTACAACGACGGATAGGCTTGTTCAAGGGAACATCATGTCAGACGGAGATCTCATAGACAGTCTTAAGAAAAAGGAATCCCAACTAGATGTGTTAGTAAGGCGAGCAAAGGGGGGCGGTTCTAAGTCAACGTAGGCAAGCGGATATTATTGAAAATATACCCCGGAACGAAATAAAAGGAACGAAAAGAGGAGTTATAATAGAAGGAAGTCATGGGAAAGATAAAGGGCGAGAGCATAAGAGTAGACGTTAATATAATGTTTTTGATTCCCCAGGTTTATTCTTGGGTCCAAGCGTGCAGTCTTCCACACCGCCCCCCTTTTCTTTCTTCACGAATCCATCCATGCATCTAAATCCTTTATTCTAGTTTCATCGGAACACTGCTCTATTCGCTGTCCCAGGAACGGGGCGCTTAATAGAAATACTGGAGACGTGTCAAGTAGGTTAGGTAGTTATTAGTATCCCAATCACCCAGCCAATAACTCCCGAGCCCCACGATGAGCGGCGCGAACATTGGAGGAACTAAATTTTTAAACGCTTCATCGGCAATCAATAAGAATTGAGGGATGACCTCCGATGATACGCTTCCACTTGTAGTCACGGGTGTTTTACCCTCAGTAGACCTATTGGTTCAGTGCCACTTGGACCAATGGCGATAGTAAGTTATACATACATGCCGTCTCTTATTCATCAGAGATTAGCATTTCCTTTATTGTCATAAATCGTCATCCATACAAGCCATAGGATTGGTATGGGCGATACATGTTTCGGAAGCCTAGGCGCGCCGCTACAATGAATGGTAGTAGCTAGGTAAGGGGCGTAAATCATCTAGAATGGGCTGGCAGTTACGAGTGCGAGGAGTCAGCTTGAAGCCGTGGGTAGTCACCGCTTCGCTCCTCTCTTTAGTAGGCTTATGATCTTCTATAGGAGTTCTATACTGTAGTGTATGAGGAGGTTAATCCTGCCTCTCGGGGTGATAGTATTTAGTGCTACTGAGTGTATTGTGTAGATGATCTATAGTGCTGGTTAAATATTTCTTGAATGGTAGCTTCTACCAGAGTCTTGTATCTAGTAGTTATCTGCTTCGAGAGGTAAAACTATAAGGTATCTATATCTATAGAATAGAAATGAAAATCCCTACCTTAAGTTTTTTAATTAACCAGATAAGATCTTACTATATATTGAAACGAAACAAGGCTCGGATAGAATAGCCATAATGTCCAATATTGGGAATTGACACGGGAAGCAACTTTAGGTTTCTTTTAGTCGAGACATTAAAAAGGCAAACAGCAAATTTGGTGGTCATTCATAATTTTAATAATCAGTTTGCTGCTCTTTTGAATACACGTCCACCCTTTACACCTTCTTGCCCTCTATCTGGTATCGCAATTAAATGACAGTTTTACTTTACGAACCACCAGGTCCACCAAGTAGAGCAAATCTTCGTACGATTCCCGGCCCGTATTCTTGATACTGCACCAAGTTAGTTATCAGCAACCTGTTAGTTTAAGCTAGAGAAGACTTACCTCGGCTTTAGTGTGGCAGTACGATCGGAACTCAGGGGTCTGTCCTAACAAGCTACCACCAAACCATGGACCGTGCCGTTGTCGCCTGTGCGTGATGACCTGCACCTCCAAACCACCACTCTTCGCTCCTCCACTGCGGACCTCGCTAGCTCGAATTCGGGCATCAACTAAATGTTTGATGTCGCGTTGTAATCTTCGCCCAAAGTCCTTGTATAGCGTGCTACCTCCTGATAACACGATGTTCTTGTACAATCCTCGTCGAACATCGATCGGACTGGATTGAATGACACCGTCGACAACAACAGGGAGTGGCGTTAGGAAGTCGGAAGAGTAGATTTCTGGATTGAAGAATATTTCAGGGGCAAGGAACCGCTCGTATCCTACGTCGACGGTGACCTGGCGACCACCTGGTTGAGAGACCACGTGCTTGGCAAACCGACTACGATCTCGATCGAACTTCGAAAACTCCTTGACAATATCGGGACATACGTAACAGTACTCTTCCTTAATCTCCTGGGCCGTCTTCAGCGAGCTGTCAGGCTCTCCTCGATCACGTAGAAGGGATTGAACAAAGTAGGTGATGTCTCGGCCGGCAATCGGAATGGACTTAATCGAGGACCCAATTACGTAACCTTCAGCAACAGGAATGACGTGCGTAACACCGTCACCCGAGTCGATGACAGTACCCGTGAGAGAACGGTCTGATACTTTTGCCGATGTCCAAGATGCGGCAAGGGCGAGGACAGCTTGGACAGCAATATAGAGACCGGCACAATTGAAGGATTCGAAGAAGATTTCGGCCGTGTTCTCTCGGTTTTCGGGAGGGTTCAAAGGCTACAGTACGTTAGCGGGCATTCGCGGTGGTAGAATCAACGGTGGCTTCGTACGGGTTCGGTTAAGAGGAAATAGTGATCTTCAGGTTCGACACGGAGATATTTGAAGATGGAGTTGGACCAGAATCTTTCCATGTGATCCTAATGTGATGTGTCAATATTGGACTCGATGATGGTGGGTCCGGGACTTATACCCAGTTCTCTATTTGACCGTGTCGGATCGGGTAGTGTAGTCCGTAGCCTATCCCAATATCAATACCTTAATCACATAAAATGTCCACCGATCAGACTGACCTGGCCCGTTCGCAGCAGCGATTGCCTCGTCGCCGATGAAGAAATCCAAGTCTTCGGTACCCCGTTTTGTCGATAGATGGCCTGCGGGACCAGCACCCCCTGTGAGGAAAGATGGTTTGTTTGCCACGGCCGGCCGGCCAGACCCGGTCCCGCCGCTACCGCCTGCTCCTCCTTTCGTAGCTATCGCGGTTGGGAAAACGAACGAGGGAGAATCGTTACCGGCGAAACCTATTATCGTAAAGAAGCGGTGGGTTAGAGGATTGTAGTTGATAGGGTTATATGGCGGTGTATCGAGCAAACGTGAGAAGCCAGCTTACCAAGCTTTGAGAATCCCGTGCCGCTATGTTCGAAAATCAAGTTAGCATTACTTTCTTCCGTATTCTGAGATGTTTAGAAAGCATCAAATGAGCTATTGATTGCGGGGTCATGAATACATACTTGTCCATGACAACGGCAGGGGTTTGGTTCGCCATTTTGAAAGGATAGGAGCTACGCAAGCTACGGAGAGATTCAAGTCAAAGCTCAGCGCCGAGGAAGGGAAAGAAGCGTCGTTACGGTGGTGGTGAGACAACCCGCGGGGCAGCTGTTGAAGTTGGTTGGCGATGATGTATGTAGACTGGAAAGTTGAAATTACGTGCCTATCGTGAGGTTAGGTTGCTAGGTATAGTGTGGCTGTGCGACGACCCAGCTGGAGGGGTGGGGACCTAGATGTACGTACCCAGCTATGAGTGCGGCTGAGTACATGTACCTAACCTAAGGTAGCTGAGAACCCTAGCTGCACGTCTGCCACTTGCACTAAGTCAAACTCTAATAATCTCACGGTACATTGCTGAAGGTATATTTTGATCTGGTCCATATGGCTTCTGGGACGTAAATATTCTATCCACTTCAACTTCTATTCATATTCAATGTGAATGTGAATGTGAATGTGAATGACATGTTATGAAGCACTATTCTTTACATAATATCTGTCCATAAAAAATAAACATTAAAAGTCTCAAGTTCAATTTCAATTGGGAATTTAGAAAAAGCATATCAATGTTTAAGAGTTAAGGCAATGGTATAAGTGGAAGTAGGCACGACCCTTATACAAGTACTCATCTTTTCAACTTCAGAGGTAAGTGCACTTTAGATATACATGACGTACCTACATACATACTCGCATGGATGTGCCTATTTCTCACTGTTCTACATAGTTCAAGGGGTTGCTCTTATTTCTCTGGCGCGGCTTTACTACATATCATTGAAGGTTCTAGCTTCCAACATCAAATAACTATTTCGATATTGCCAAACATCTCCTTCGCTACTTAGGTAGTAAATTATTATAAAGGAATCTACTCCTAAGTCTCATCATCTTTCATCCAGTCCTCACTCCATTTCCTTTAAATCTCCCTATACTTATCTTACTTCCACCGCTCGCTCGACGCTGTATCTCCTCCATACGACACATGTGGCTCGTCCATTGCTTGTCGGCACTAATTACCCGGTACTGGCTCTTCAGCTTCAGTCTCCCGCCCACTTCGACGATTGGCATGGTACCTCACCACCCAAGCTTTTGACCCTCTACCTCTATTACTTGTAGCTTAGCTTATAGCTTTGCTCTCGCCAACATTGCCTCACGCAAGAGGAATCGCCCTAAATAGCTGCATAGCTTTATCGGTATCCTGAGTATTTAGGTGCCTTGCCGTTTTACTTCGTATCACGAGCTAAGAAGTTCCGGCAGCTTCCTATACCTCCCTACTAACGAATGATTTTGGTGGATTCTGGATCCAGAAGAGTTGTCCCTAAATTAGTCAGAATTTATTCGATCCCGCAATCGTCCTAGTCGAAGCAACAGACAGAATATATCCGCTGGGATTCTTAGTCTAAATTCGAAAATAACAGTACATTGAATTTACCTATTTTTGTATAAGAGAGAGTCAGAAGACAGAAGTTCAATTTTCCAAACGAATCCGGTGTATCCCCCCATACCCATACCTTATACTGAGTATGGATTCTGGAGATCCTCAAGACAACGCTGTCTCGACCTGGCATGAGGATGATATCGAACAGGACGATATCATTGACGGCTTGCCCTGGGCCACCGAGCACCTAAGACCTCCCTCCCCATTGGAAGATGGTAACATCGTTTCCATGGATGGAGCCATAGATCGCCAGGGAAAACGTAAGAAATTCCCGGTAGCAGCCATATTTATTCATGCCGGGGCCGGGTACCACAGCGTTGCCAATGAGGGCCTACACCTAGAAGCCTGCAATGAGTAAGCACTTTGACATTTTCATTTTACTTATAGCGTTTTGGCAAATCATTCTAACGTCAAGTAGAGCTGCACGTCTGAGCATAAAACTCCTGCGGTCAGGCCATTCGGCTGTGGATGCTGTCGAGGCTGCTATCAAATCCCTCGAGGACAAGGAGATCACCAATGCTGGCTACGGAAGTAACTTGGCAATTGATGGGACGGTAGAGTGTGACGCCACCTTGGTCGATCATTTTGGTCGCAGCGGAGCCTGTGGT